GACGGCCGGAAAAGCCGCGATATATTCGGGTTGCCGCCCGGTGAGCGGGCAGTCGGGGTACTCCTCCACGCGATAGCCCAACGGTAGCGGGGACGCCGCGACGGAGGGAAGGAGCAGCAGGAGGAGGCAAAGGAGGGCGAGAGGATGGCCCACGCAGGGGTCCCGGGGTTTTTCTTGGGTCGCCGCCGCCGCCCGGTGAGCGGCAGTCGGGAATTGTGCCACGCGATCGCCCTCCACGCGATCCCTCCACGAGATCGCCCTTCACGCGATCGCCCTCCACGCGATCGCCCTTCACGCGATCGCCCTCCACGCGATCGCCCTCCACGAGATATGCCTCCGGTAGTAGCGGGGACGCCGCGACGAAGAGACGGAGCAGCAGGGAAGGGCGGCCCAAGAGAGGCCTGAAGGGAGGGCCGACGGGAGGGTCGAGGCGAATCTGGTTCGCGCCATGGTCGTGATCGATCAGCCCCACTTATGACGCAGTATCTCCGTCGCTCGGTCGTTTTAGTCGCTGGGTCGCTGGGTCGCTCGGTCACTCAGTCGCACAGTCGCACAGTCGCTCAGTCGCTCAGTCCCTCCGTCTCTCAGTCGCACAGTCGCTCAGTCGTTCAGTCGCACAGTAAGGAAACGTTGCGTACCAGCAGCGCTCTCATCGCTACCGCGGTGACTACTTTAAAGACAGGCATTTCTGGGAAAAGGCTCGGGATCTGGCAAAACGAACGAGAAGACGAGCAGCAGCCGTCGACTCAATAAAGTAGCTCCTGAATCCCCAGTCCATTGCTGCTCTTCGGCGGCTCATTCGGTTGGGATCGCTTGTGACCTCCCAGGCCTACTGCTCTGACTAGTAGATAGGAGGTGAATGTCGGTGCGACGCGCTTTTTGTTGACTCTAGTTGACCGGGGGGCGTTGTTTGAACTTGTGTTTTGAACTAATTTTATGGAAGCTCGGGCCTGCCTCGGGGTTAAACACGGTCTGGTGCGTTTCAGAAGCTATATATATTATGTTTCACATGAAAATATCGTTTCGAGATAAATGTTTACGGCTTCTATTTAGGACCACTAGAACTCAATGGACGCACAAGGTACTTCTTGTAATGCTGTAAATGACATCGTAGCTACAGACCATAAAATATCCCACTCGAAAATGCAAAAATACGATACACACTTCTTAGTGTCACTATGCTAGTTGCTAAATGGGTCAGGGGTCAGGGATTGCAGGCTAGCTTGCCAATGGGTGTTAGTCTAACAAGTGTTGCAACAAAGAACAAAGCCTATGTCGAGCCGTACTCGTACATTACCAATGTACAAACCGTCGGATGCTTAGCTAAGTACCATACCAGTGCATGCATCCCTCTGTGTAGAGAGGGATGGTGCATTCCATTACGGTGTAGAAGACATCACCCCACATGCTGACAAGTCCATGTCCCCTTAGTGAGATGGTGTTAATTAGCCTACTTGCAATGAAATTAACTTCGCTTATGGATGCATACGAGTGCAGTTGGTGAATTCTTGTTACGAGTCTCTTTCCTCGCGTTGGATTCTGAGCTGCTCCTGCCAGTACCCATGTGCCTGCACCACTCGATCCAACAGGTCCTGTGGCACCGGCTCCCCCCTGCGCTGATGTGGCGCGATCTGAGCCGTATGCACAGCGTCTTCCACTTGTCCTGATGAGTGCAGGGTTTTAGGGAATTTGTGCAAAACCAGAAGTCTGATGTTTAAAAAAGACAAGATGCACAAACCTTTCTGTTTTTACTGCACCATTTTGTAAGGCTGATGAAAAGCACGCGTGTGGAGGTTGTTATAGGGTCTGTTAACAGGTGTGGATTATGTGCGCCGAGAAAACTTGCAACTCGCACCAAAGAGGGAAACAAGTCTTGTCTGGAAAGCAAACCAGAAAAGAAGCGCTCACCTTACGATCCACATGGCGCCTTTGATTTTAATGTAATGTCACAAATGCATGCAGTTGAGATGTTCAGAAACTTTTGAGTCGACTCAAAAGTCAGCACTTACCTTAGGATCCACATGGTGCCTTCGATTGGATGTTGGCAATGCAAATGCATTCACCCTTGAGATGCTCCGAAACACATCCATGTGGTGCCTTAGATGTTATTTCACAAATAAATGCAGTTGAGATGTTCAGAAGCACTTACCTTGAGGTCCACATATGTTCGGTGCTTTGAAGTGGCAAAAGCCCTCAGTTTCACATCCCTCCACCTGCAGAGGACAGACGGATCGCAACAAAGGGGAAGCGAGGGAGGGGGGGGTTTGAGAATTCTAAAAAATCTCCCACAAGGACTTCAACTCTCTCGTGCTTTGAAGTGGCAAAAGCCCTCAGATTCACATCCCTCCACCTGCAGAGGACAGATAGATCGGAACAAAGGGGGGAGGGGGGAGAGAGGAGGGGAAAGGGGGGGGGGAGTGGGAGGGGTGGAGGAGGGAGAGTTGTTTTCCCCTACCCAGGTAACTGCCCCCCACACACCCCACATACCGGCCAGTGCCAAGCACCTCCACTGCATCCACCAGCGATGCCACCTCGCCACAGTGAACGGGCAGCGACCATTCCTCCTCTCTGAAAACAAGTTCATTCCTTCCCACCCTCTATTGCCCACCTGCCAGTGCCAAGCACCTCCACTGCATCCACCAGGGACGCCACCTCCCCCACAGTGAACGGCCGCCGAATCCTCCTCCTCTGCTCAATGAGCTGCAGCCCCGCCGCTGACCTTCCCCGTGGGTGCACCATCATCGCCCCTGCCCCTGCCCCCCCCACGCCCCCTCTCTGCATGTGCTGCGGATGCAACACCAGTGCTCCACTCTCCCCCCCTCCACCTCTCCCCGCATACGACAACGCCCCTCCTCCCACCCCTCCCCCTCCCCCTCCTCCCCCTCGGCCTCTGCCTCTTCCTCTGCCTGATACGGATGGGTGTAGGATGAGGGCTCCGGAATGCGCCCCTTTAGAAGCATACCCGCTATTAGCATACCGCCCAAACGGCAGCCGGAACCCCTCGTCCTCCTCCTCATACTCCTCATCCTCCTCCTCTTCCTCCTCTTCCTCCTCCTCTTCCTCCCCCTCCTCCCCCTCTTGGTAATCTTCGTCATCGTTCCGTCTCCTCCTCCTGTTTCTCCCTCCTCCCACACCATCCCCTGGCTCGTGCTCTGTCTGTGCGCGAATCGCTGCTAAGGCCTGTGCTGCTGCATGTCTAGTGGTGGGAGTAGTGGTGGTGGTGGCAGGAGGGGCGGAAGCTGGAGTAAAAGGACCAGAGGCGGAGGCGTAAGGGTAGGAGGGGGAGAGGTAGGATGGGTGGAGGGGAGTGGAAGGGCTTGAGTGTCTGCGTGCGCTGCCTGGTGCTGCTGCTGCGGCTGCAGCGGCTGCTGCGGCAGCGGCAGCAGCAGCAGCGGCGGCGGCTGCTGCTGCAAAGCTTGATCGGGTGTTGTGAGAAGGGTAGGCGTGGGATGGGCTGGCGGGAAGGGGAGGGGCAAGGGGTTGAAGGGAAGGGGGGGTGAGGACAAAGGGGGGGGGGGTAGAAGGATTGGGGGGGGGAAGGGTAACTTTTGAGTCAACTCAAAAGTCACCTCAGGAACTGGGAGGAGGAGGGGGGGGGTGGGGGGGGGGGACAAGGGGGAGAAGAGAAGGTTGAAGGGGGGAAAGGGTAATGAGAAATGCTTGGTGAAGCACACAAGGACAGCACCCAAACATGATGGGGAAAAAAAAAGACCGAAATAACGATGTAACAGTGTCCAGAGGAGCACCCCGATTCCTTGGCCCAGCAGCAGCAGGAGAGGTGGAGGTGGCGGGTAGTGGGAGTGGGGGGAAACTCACGATGCAGCAGGGACCAGCGGAGCATCCCCATTCCTCCCCTCAGCAGCAGCTGCCGCCGCCACAGCAGCAGCAAGGCCCGGATCCCCAGGGTGAGCCAGAGGCGACAGCAGCAACAGCGGATCGGGATCAGCAGCAGCAGCTGCCGCAGCAGCCGCAGCTGCAGCCTGCTTGGCAGCAGCTGTAGCAGCGGCTGTAGCAGCGGGAGGAGGCGGAGGGGGCGGGAGCAGAACCGGGTCTGGGTCGAGCATGAAGCTGAGGGATGCTGCTGCTGCCTGCTTCTGCTGCTGCTGCTGGTGCAGGGCTGCGTGCGAGAGGCCCACGTCAGCCAGGGAGGAATGGTCATCCGTGCAGCGGTTACCCTGTAACACCATGCGCAGGCGCAGCCCGTTGCCAAAAGAGGCTAGAGCTGCCTCTACTACAGCTTGCTGGAATAGAAAAGGAGAGTGGGGGAGAAAGGATGGAGAAAGGGAGTGAAGGAGAGAGGCACAGGGGAAGGAAGGAGGGAGGGTTGATCGTCCGTGTAACACCAGCGGTTACCCTGTAACACCAAGCGTCGGCGCAGGCCGTTGCCGAAGGAGCATGAAAGAAGAAGGCGAGCGGGGTATGGAGGGGCTACATAGTCAGGTGGTGCACTCGTTTGTAGCACTCTTATTGCCATGTGTAATGAGTCGATTTTTGAGTCGACTCAAAAATCGACTCAGCACTCTTATTGCCATGAAACGACGGGTGTTGTGTGTGGCAAGGGCACATCCGCTCACGCCTTTGAATCGGCATTATCACTTTTTTGGGTACCCGTGAAGGCATATCTTAATTTCGTCTGGAATGTATTTTTAGAATTCTACAAAATCTCTCACAATGACGTATCTTCAGATTGTGTTGAACTTAAACTAAAAATCCGAACACAATAAAAGCACTATGGTACACACACCTTGAGCGCACCAACAGTGGCAGTTTCTGGCAGGCAGACTGAAAGCTCGGGCATTGAGAGGCTCTTTATAGAGAAGCGGACTGGGGGAAAAGAGGGGGGAGGAAAGGGGGAAGGGGGGAAGGGGGGAAGGGGGGGGGTGGGTACGATAAAAGGGTAGCAGATGAAGGGGCGCAGATAAACAGGGCGCGAAGCAGAATGTATTCATCGTCAGCAGCAGAGTGAGAGCTCGTTGAGCGAATGGGAGCAGATGAAAGAGCAGACTGAAAGCTCTCTGCACATTGAGAGGCTCTTGACTGAGCAGTGGACTGGGGGGGGAAAGGAAGGGGGGGATGGGAATTAAGGAGGGTTGAGGCAGACAGGAGGGAGGAGGGGCTGGGATAAGTGATGCTGGCGATTTTTTAGAATTCTCAAAAATCTCTCAGGGAAGCTTCCCGGATGCAGCCAGAGAGCTCCGGCATTGAAAGGCTTTTAATTAAGAGGCACACAGAATAGGGATGTTCTCAAGAAACAAGAGGCCCCCTGAAGCATGGCTCTCTGCGTTTACCCCGTCTTCAAAACGCCAAGGCCTGCCTTCCAGGAGCACCCATCTGCTTTTGAGTCGACTCAAAAGCTTCCAGGAGCACCCATCTGCTGCTTCCAGGAGCACCCATCTGCTTTTGAGTACGACTCAAAAGCTTCCAGGAGCACCGGCCGATCATAGCTCTGCTTTGAGTCCGCCGACTCAAAAGCTTCCAGGAGCACCCATCTGCTTGAGTGCGCCATTCCAAACATCCAGACTCAAGCTCAGGGCTGCTTCCTGTCGTCTCCGGTTTTGGTAAAGCCACTGCAGCCATTCACTCTGGGCCTGCTTGGTAAGTGCAGCACGGGCGGGGCACCGGGGAGCCATCTCTATTACGGTAAGCCTTACCTTCCAGCTCCCGTCTGCTCCCTTGTGCTCTTTCCTGCCCTCGTTCCTCTCAAAATCACTTCAACTGTCCACCACGCTGCAACCCTCTCAAACTCACTCAGCGGCTGCTCCTGTCGTCTCCGGTGGTAAGCCTGCAGCACCGGTGCAGAAGCCGGGGCCGGGGCAGCGGCCTCCCCTGCCCCCACGGTCTCCTCTGCTCCCCCTGCTCCAGAGCCCTCGCCTGGGCCTGAGGCGGGCCCGTCCAGAGCTGGAGAGTCAAGTGGTGCTTCGGGCACCGAGCCTGTGGATGCTGAGGGATAGGGGCAGGATTGGGGAGTGTGGAAAGAAGGACGAAATTGGGGAGAGGCACCGGAGGTAAGCCTGCAGCACCGGAGGTAAGCCTGCAGCACCGGAGGTAAGCCTGCAGCACCGGAGGTAAGCCTGCAGCACCGGTGCAGAAGCAGGGGCTGGGGAAGCAGCCTCTCCTATCCCTACTCTCTCCTCTGCTCCCCCTACTCCAGAGCCCTCGCCTGGGCCTGGGGCGGGCCCGTCCAGAGCTGGAGAATCAAGTGGTGCTTCGGGCACCGAGCCTGTGGACGCTGGGAGAGAAGGACAGGATTGGAGAGAAAGAGAGAATCAGAAGTGGCAGAGACGAGACTGGGAAGAGCTTCGAGGCACTTTGGAAGGAATTTGTAGATTACTCAAAAATGACTCCACTGTAGCCGGAAGCCGAGGCAGGCCCTTTTGGGGCTGACGAATCAGGTGGTGCTTCGGGCACCGAGCCTGTGGAGGCTCGGCGAGAGGGACGGGAGTGGAGATTTGGGGGGGGAGGAAGAATAAATCGACTGAGTTGGCCTTGGGCAAAGGCCGTCTTGTGACCCCAACAACTTTAAGTAGAAGTTGCCCCAATTTTTGTAATGTTAGCTCTAGTGACCCTGGGTCGTCGAGTTGTTGAGTCGAGGTGGCGCCTAAAACACACCTGCCTCAGCTGTACCTTCCCCAGTCTCACCTCGCCGCCCTCTGCCTAGGACTCCCTCCTTGCTGTCCGTTACGCCCGCAGGAGAAGCAGCAGCAGCAGGGGGAGCAGCAGGAGGAGGAAGAACAGCAGGAGCAGCAGCAGGAACAGCAGGAGGGGAGACCGGTGAATCTTGCTGCTGCCGCGGCTGCTGCTGATCGTGGTTTTGGGTTTGGTTGCGGAGGGAGGGGTGTGGAGGGGAGAGCAGCGCGGAGTGGCCGTCCAAGGCCATGAGCGGCAGGCGTGAGGCGGGACGTGTGGTGCGATGGCGCGTGCGCCGAGTGATGCCTTGGAGGGCTGGGATGGGAGAGGGGACAGGGGATAGCAGGAGGAGGGCAGGGGGGGAGCAGGGGGAGAGCAGGGGGGAGGAGGGGAGATCAGGGGAGAGAAGGGAGGAAATGAATAGGACGTAGAGGGAAGAGACAGAAAGAGGGGGCAGGGGAGAGCAGGGCGGAATGGCCGTCCACTGCCATGAGAGGAAGGCGGGAAGCGGGGCGGGTGGTGCGGTGGCGTGTGCACCGAGTGATGCCCTGGAGGGCTGCAACGGGAGAGGGGATGGGGGGGACCGCGAAGGGGGGGAGGGGGTTGGAAGGAGGGGGGATATGAGAGGAATTAGAGTGAAGAGAGCGCATGGGAGCGGGGGGGGAAGGGGGGGGGGTGACAGGGGGGAGAGCAGGGCGGAGTGGCCGTCCAAGGCCATGAGTCGCAGGCGGAAGGCCGGGCGCGTGGTGCGATGGCGCATGCGCTGGGTGATGCCTTGGAGGGCTCGAGAAAACGGAGAGTGGGGGTGGGAGGATACAGCGAGAAGGAAGAATGGAGAGAGAGACTGAGATGTGTGGGGACATGGTGCGACCCAACACATCTCAGTCCTCACGCATGGTGCGATGGTGCATCTAGAGGGTGATGCCAAGGAGGGATGGCAAAGGGCGGGTGGGAGCAGGGGTCAAGGGCAGAGGGGTTTGCGGAAAGAAAAGAAAGCGGGAGAAAAAAAATTGACACAGAGGGGTTTGCGGGCATCAATCCACAGTATCAGAACATTGACACAGAGTCACGACACCATTAGTGCTGGCATGGCGTGCTCCAGCTCAAACCGCTGCATGAAGAGCAGGCGGGAGTGGTGAAGCCACTCCCAAGAAGGCAGGCAGACAGACAGAGCGAGCTTACGTGTAGGGAGGGCAGGGGCGAAGGGGGCTCGATACACATACACTACAATGAGCACACATGCGGCCAGGCAGAGTGGGCGTACAGGCAGGGAGAGCAGGGTCGAAGGGCTCATATACAGGAGACGGAGCACCATCCCCATCCGCCCTCTCCCCCTGCTGCTGCAGCTTCCGCTTCCGCGTCGACAGCCCCCCCACTGCTTGCTGCTGCTGTTGCTGCTGATCCTTCACAGAATCTGCACCTTTCTTCCCCGTCCGCCCTTCAGGCGAACGGGTGGTGGCGGCAGCAAACACCCCCCCGTTCTCCGCCTCCTCCTGCTGTTGCTGCTGTTCTTGTCCGCTCCTCAACACCTCAGGCGCCGCATCACCACTGCCAGCGGCAACACTAGCACCACCTGCAAAGGCAGCAGCAGCAGGAGGGGTGGCAGCAGCAGCAGGAGCAGCAGCAGGGGCAGCAGCGGCAGGGGTGGAGGGGCAGAGGGAGGGCAGCAGGCCTAGAATGGTTGAAGCCACCATGTCATCGTCTCGTGACCCAGTCGACCCCACGCCTGCTGATCCCAAGCCTGTTGACCCAACAGCAACTTCGCCACCTGCTGGCTCCACACCTGCTGCACCCGCCAAGGCTGCTGCACCTAAGATCCCGGCACCTAAGATTCCACCTGAAGCAGCATCCGGCAGGTGTTCTGGGGCCAACAAACCTGCACCCCCAGGAGTAGCACCCTCCTGCCCCGCCCCCACCCCCCCATCCCCCACCATCCCCCCTTCCCCAGCTCCTCCCTCCCCTAGAACCATATACTCCACGGGTCCGCCCTCCCCCACGCCCATCTGCTTCTTGAGCTCCTCCTCCTCCTCCTCGTCCACCTCCAGCACGTCGATCTCCTCTTCCTCGTTCGCTGCCTGCACTAGAACCACGTTTTGCATGGCTAGCAGACGCATGTCCATCACCTCGTGCTGCTGCTGCTGCTGCTGCTGCTGCTCTGCTGCTTCTAACGCTGCTGGGAGCTGCGTTTCTATCACCTGCTGCTGCTGCAGCTGCTCTGCTGGTGCTGCTGCTTCTGGAGTCTGTGTTTCCATCACCTCATCCTGCTGCTGCTGCTGCTGCTGCTGCTGCTCTGAAAGCATTGTTGGCACCGTTGCCTTCTGAGTCGGGGAATCATGAGTCTCCGCCTGAGCGCTCTCCCCCTGCTCGTGGGGGGGCAGCACCGCATTCTGCAGCGCGAGCAGACGCAGGTCCATCAGCTGCTGCTCTGCCGGCACTGGGAGCTGTGCTTCCATGGCCTCCTGCTGCTGCGCTGCTGCTGCTGGTGCTGCTGCTTCTGGAAGCTGCGTTTCCAACGCCTGCTGCTGCTCTGCTGGCACTGGGAGCAGCCCACTGGTAGGGGGGCTGCCTGGGGCGGCTGTAGCGGCCACATATTTACCTGCCGCATTGGCAGCTGTAGCAGCAGATTCTGTGGCGATAAGACCTGCCGTCCCACGGTCTGTAACATTGGCATACGCAGCATTGGCATCTGTAGTATTAGCACCTGTAGCGGTGGCATATGTAGTGGTGGCATCTGTAGCAGTGGCAGCAGCATCTGTAGCAGTGGCAGCAGCATCTGTAGCAGTGTCAGCAGTTACAAAAGAATCAGTGTTAGTGGTTGGCTGTGACGACTCCAATGGACCCTGCTGCGTGTACCCTTGCTCCTCCGTCTCTTTTTGAGGCGCCTCAAAAATAGTCTCTTCCTCCACCTTCGTCCCTTCCCCTTCCACCTTCTTTCCTTCCTTTTCTCCTACCTCGCCCTGCTTCTCCCCTTCCACCTCTGCGTTCCCATTCTGCTGCTCTCCCATACCATCCTCACCTCTCTGCACTCTTCTCTCCTCCTCCCCCTTTTTCCGCCCCTCCTCATGCTCCTCCATCTTCCCTTTTCCCTCCTCAGGCTTCTCCATCTCCCCATTCCCCTGCTCCCGCTGTTGCACCTGTCCTCCTGCTCCTTCGCTCTCCGCTTTCTTGCCCGAATCCCACCTCCCCTTCTTCCCTACACCGTTCATCGCGCCCTCCTCTCCTCCCTCGGCTGGCCCATTCGTCATAGTCACGTCTACTTCAGCCCCCTGACCCTCGTTACTACGCTCCTTGCCAGTGTCAACGAGACCCTCGCGCTTCTCCTGACCCTTCTCCTCACCCGTATCCGCACCCTCCCCCTCACTCTCCTCTTTCCCCCCCGCACCCGCCTCTCCCTCGTTACCCCCCTCCTTCATCTCCACATCCTCCCCCCCCTCCCTGCCTTCCTCTCCCTTAACGCCCTCATCCCCTTTCCTCGCCTGATCACCCTTCCCCTCCTCCCCATCCCCGGACTCCACCCTCTTCCCATCCACTTCTCCCACCATTTTTCCTCCCACCAGCCCTATTCGCCTCTCTCCCACCCCAACACCGCCTCCCCCTTCCGCCCCTGACTCCAAACCCTGTTCCCTCCCTGTACCCTCCGCCTCAGTCACACTCGCTTTTGTCGCCCCTGCTTTAGTCACTCCTGCTTGAGTATCCACTTCCATCGCAGCCGCATCACAACCATCACCATCCCCTCCTTTCTCCGCTTCACCCTCCGCTTGCACTGGCCCATCCTCTTGCAAGGTGGAACCTCCCCCCGGTATCACCTTCCCTTCCGCACCCTCTCCAGCCTCCTTCTCGCCTTCTCTCTTTTCCTTTCTCTCTCGTCCACCCTCCGTCTCGGCCTTACCCTCCTTTTCCCCCACTTCCCCCTCATTCCTCGAAGCAGGCCCTTGAGAACCCCCCGTTGCGGCACCCTCATCATTGTCACTTAGTCTCCCCTGCTCCCCACCAGCACCGGCTCCCTTCCTTTCAGTCACACTCTCCAGCGGCTTCTCCCCAGACTCCGCCAAAGTCGTGTCTGCTCTTAACGGGGCCTCGCCTTGAGACTTCCCTTCCTCCAATTTACCCCCCTCCGTTTTTCCTTCTGGCATAGCAGCACAATTTTCTTCCTTGTCTTCACGAACTGTCTCCCCATTTTCGGGAGCTTGAGCGACCGCGCTATCCTCCTCCGCTTTTGACTTTTCTCGTAATGGTGACGCTCCTGACGGTTCTCCGGGCTCCATTTCCCAGTATAAGCGCTTTGCAGTGCTATCAAGCACCGGTTAAAAGTATGGGGATAATATACTCTTAAATGTTTAGCGCGAATTACAGTTGGAGCACTACGCGCCTGGACCTTACTGAAACGCTTAAGACGCTATTTTTTTTCGTCCGATATAGAGCTAATTTTTGCAATTAATCCCAGCCAGTTAGTCAAACTGACAGGCTTATTAAGTCAGCCAAACTGAAGGCCTAATGCTCCCCGAGCTGAACTTCGGTCGGACATTAAAGCCGTCGATACTACCTCTTATCGACTACAATTTTTCCAATTTCGTCAATGCGATAAGCCGGCGGAACTCCCGCAAATTGCGGGACTGCGAAATACCGATACCTTGCGAAATGCGAACATCAGCACTAACGACGAAACCCAGAGATCCAAACCCCAAATGTCAGCAGCAAACCCTAGCTAAGAAACCCCAGATCCAGAACCCTCCAACAACCCAGGTATTGATGACAGGGAAACGAAAATCAGGTTGTTACAATCTATAAATGTCAACCTCATGTATTGTCATGACAACAAACTCTCATTATTTAACGCTATATTGATGCTTGTTTGTGAAATTCTTTCCATTATTCGGTTTAAAATAATTGTTTTTGTTTCAGACTCAAGTCAGACATGGTATCGCATTTAGAGAAGGTTAGAAGATTGGCGTAACCTGGAAGTTTTGCATCTTCTAAATATCTCAATAGATTTTTCAGTGGTTCTCATGTTAAATATGAGAAAACCATTTGTTAATAAAATAATCATGATTCACGAGCATGATAACCATATTGGTCTTGTTGGGTACAAGTATTACTAGTAAGGACGCTTACACATGTAAACGAGAGTGACTCTACGCAAGTACAGCAGATTCCACGAAGCAATTCGTGAGAATTTACCACCACCACAGCTCTCGAGATTTGGACCCCCTTCCGCATTATCCTGTCCTGATTTGCAGTCTGGCACTCGTTATTTGGCAGCATAGGCTCCTGCCGTTAGTCACTTCTCGCTGATCAGAAAAAACGTCATGGCTGGTGGCGAGGAGAAAGCCGTAGAGAAGGCAGGTGATGCTGACGTGGACATGGCGGAAGGCCCGGATTTAGGGAAGTCAGACTCAGATTTAGACGACGGTGGTAATGGCGAAAAGGAGGACATGGAGGACAGCGATAAAGATGATAGCGAGGATGACGATAGCGAGGATGAGGCGAAGGAGGCAGCGGAGGAGGCGGAGCGAAAGGCTCTGATTGGCGAAGTTAAAGGCCGCATCGCATCGAATCCGTACGACTATCAGGCTCACGTTCAGGTACTTGCTCGCTATTAGTTGATTTAGGAAAAACATTCGGTTTAGTCACATATTCCAACTGTACAGAGGGCTCGCAGTACGTCGCAACATTAGCAAGATTAAAGCGCCTGATAGTGATGGTTTGTTTAGAAAATGAAATGGTTGGCTGCTGACGGAAAGACCACCAGAATAGCCTACGGTTTCTAGTGCCGTTTCTCCAGTGTTGGTCTGGGTCGTTTTGCACTTGACACTTGCTCTGATGATTCCACATGCCTTCGGCCGAACAACAAATACATCGGTCTTCGGTACCGCTCCGTCTTCATCGAAGCAACGCCTTCTGCTTTTTGCCTCGGGCTGTCATTTTTTTGTTTCACAAAGATCCGCGACTGAGTGAGTTTCGCGCGCTGCTGTATCAGTGCAGGTATCAATTGCTTGCTTTGTATGCTGCCGCATTAGTACCTGCTTGAGAGGAAGCTTATATCGTGAATGCCACCCTAGGCCCATCAGCAGCGACCCTGTGGTATCAATCCCGCCTTGCAGGGCGGCGAGAAGGCATGAGCCGCTACCGTAACCTTCCCCCAACCCTCCTCGTGTGTCCTCCTATTCTTTCCCTTGCTCCCAACATCCCTTTACCCCCACCCGGCCACCCACCCCTCCCCTTCTCCCTCCCCCTCTTTTTCCCGTCGTCAGTTGATACAGCTTCTATGGCGCAGCAGCATGCTTGAGGAGGTGAGGAAGGCGAGGGAGCGATGTAGTGTTCTTCATCTTTGCCTTCCTCTTGTCCCCCCCCCACGCACACACCCGCATGTCAGCTGATCGCCCTTCTGCGGCGCAGCAGCATGCTGGAGGAGCTGCGGGCAGCACGGGAGGCCATGAACGCGCTGTATCCGCTGTCCCCCGCCATGTGGCAGCAGTGGGCGCACGATGAGACCAGCCTCATTGCCTCGTACGTATATGGAGACTTGCGCTCTTCTTTGACAGTTCGTGGGGACGTGCCATGAGTGCAGTGCACTGTGAGTGCTCTGCCTCCCGCCATGTGGCAGCAGTGGGCGCACGACGAGACCAGCCTCATTGCCTCGTACGGCCGCACACTCTTCCAGCCTTCTTTCTCTTTATGTGCCTCTTCTGGAGTGCCTCTTCTGGAGCTATCAAAACATTCTGCACAGTGCACCTACTCCCATCCTACGCTTTGAGCACGTGTAGACAGTGTACCTACTCGCTGCCTACATTTTCCCATCCTCCGCTCTCATCTTGAAGAGAAATGTCGCTCTTCGTCCGTGCCATTCCATGTTGTTTTCGTGTCCCCCTCTGGTTTTACTGTTTGTTAAAACCCACAGAGATGCTGACGTGGCAAAGGTGGAAGCTCTGTACCAGCGTGGAGTGGAGGAGTATGTGGTGAGTCTCCCCCCCCCCATATCTCTTCCTCTCCTCCCATATCCCTCCCCCCCCCCCCCCAATATCTCTCCCTCTCCTCCCATATCCCCTCACCCCCACCCCTCCCCTCTCCCTTTCCTCCCATACCCCCCTCCCACCCGTTCTTCCCTCCCCTCCCTCCCATATCCCTAATCCTTGCCATCCCTCTTTGCCTGTGGTAAGCGTGGGAAGGAGAGTGTGTGTGGTAACATCCCCCTCTCTTCACTCACACTCTCTCAAGCGGTCCTTATACTGATGGAATCCTGGGTACTCCCCAATTCGCCTCGTGTGTAATGAGTCGATTTTTGAGTCGACTCTAAAATCGCCTCATTACACATGGAATCCTGGGTAGGTACTCCCCATTTCGCCTCCTTTCTTTCTATGGTCCGTTGTATTCGTCCTTTCCTTCTCGCACTTTCCCACTTCCCACTCTTCTCCTCAATTCACCTTTCCCTTCCCTTCCCTCTGCTCCTTCAGTTTCTGCTCCTTTTCCTTCTGCATCCCTCTCTTTTCATCTCTTTCAACCAATCACGTGCATGCATCCGTCTCCACTCAAGGCTCCATCCGCTTTCTCGTCACCCAAACGCCCCCCCTCCCCTCCCCTCCCCTCCCCTCCCCTCCCCTCCCTCCCCTCCCTTCCTTTTTTTGGAGTCCTATCCCCTTCTCTCTGTCAGTGAGGGCGTCCCCCCCTCTCTCTGTCCCTCTCACGTGCATCCCACACACATACCGCTCTCCTCTAACCTCCCCGCTCCCCAATCGCGCTCCTTTCCCCAGTCCTCTCCCTCGATCTGCGACGATCCGGCGGGCCTACCTCCTCCCTCGCACATCTCACTCTTCCCCTAACCCCCTAACCCCCCTAAACCCCAACCCCATCCCCCCTTCCCCCCTCACCCCTTCTTATCCACCCAGTCCCCCTCTCGCCCGCAGGCCTGCCTCTCTTTCCTCATCTCCCACCACCCTGCCATCACCACCCACATACCCCCGAGGGCCTCGGCCCTCAAGCTGTACAGGGACACAGCAGAGCAGGCGTTAACCCAGGCCGGGTTGCACCTGGGGAGGGCGCATCTGGGGTCACACACCTGAGGGCCTCAAGCTGTTCAATCAGCCACGTGACTACACTCACTCGTCCCCTATCTCTTCCCCTAACCCCCCTCCCCAACCTCCCCCTTTCGACCCTCAGTCCCCCTCCCTCTGGCAGGCCTGCATCTCGTTCCTCACCGCCCACCAACCCGCCATCACCACACGCACCCCTGAGGGCCTCAAGCTCTCGAATCAATCGTATTTATCTCCTCCCCTCCCTTCCCCCCTCCCTTCCCCCCTCCCTTCCCCCCTCCCTTCCCCCCTCCCTTCCCCCCTCCCTTCCCCCCTCCCTTCCCCCCTCTTCCCCCCCCCCCCCCCCCCCAATGCACTTCCCCAGTCCCCCTCTCTCTGGCAGGCTTACCTCTCGTTCCTCACGGCCCACCACCCCGCCATCACCACACGCACGCCCGAGGGCCTCAAGCTGTTCAGGGGCACAGCAGAGCAGGCGTTAACCCAGGCTGGGTTGCACCTGGGGGAGGGCGCATCTGTCTGGGGGACGTACAGGGGACTTGAGATGGAGGTCTTGATAAATGTGAGGAAAGGGGAGGAGGAGGGGAAGGGGGGTTTGGGAGAGGAGGAAAGGACGAAGCAGGCCACCCGGGTGCGCGCGCTTTTCCATCGCCAGCTGGCGGTGCCTCATTTGCAGCTGCCTGCCACGCTGGCCGCGTACCTGGCTTGGGAGGAGAAGGAAGGAGGGGAGAAGCTTCCTGCTGACCCTCCTCCGCCCTCCTCCGCCGCCTCTCCCTCTTCCCCGGACGCTCAGAAGCTTCCAGGAAGCGTCAAGGCGGCGTATTTGAAAGCGGAAAAGATGGTGGGGGAGAGGAGGGGGGTGGAGGAGAGGGTGGGGCGGCTGGAGGGGGAGAAGAGAAGAGTGGAGGAGGAGGGTGCCGCTGCTGCAGCGGCAGGGGGAGGGAGTGGGGGAGGGGGGAAGGGAGGGGAAGGTGGTGCAGGTGGTGGGAGTGGTGGTGGTGCTGTGGCTACTTTTGACAAGAGTGATGAGCTGATGCTGGCATACACGGTACGGTGATGGGCATGGGATGATGGGCATGGGGTGATGGGCATGGGGTGATGGGCATGGGGTGATGGGCATGGGGTGATGGGCATGGGGTGATGGGCATGGGGTGATGGGCATGGGGTGATGGGCATGGGGTGATGGGCATGGGGGTGATGGGCATGGGGTGATGGGCATGGGGTGATGGGCATGGGGTGATGGGCATGGGGTGATGGGCATGGGGTGATGGGCATGGGGTGATGTGCATGGGGTGATGGGCATGGGGTGATGGGCATGGGGTGATGGGCATGGGGTGATGTGCATGGGGTGATGTGCATGGGGTGATGGGCATGGGGTGATGGGCATGGGGTGATGGGCATGGGGTGATGTGCATGGGGTGATGGGCATGGGGTGATGGGCATGGGGTGATGGGCATGGGGTGATGGGCATGGGGTGATGTGCATGGAGTGATGGGCATGGGGTGATGGGCATGGGGTGATGGGCATGGGGTGATGGGCATGGGGTGATGGGCATGGGGTGATGGGCATGGGGTGATGTGCATGGGGTGATGTGCATGGGGTGATGGGCATGGGGTGATGGGCATGGGGTGATGGGCATGGGGTGATGGGCATGGGGTGATGGGCATGGGGTGATGTGCATGGAGTGATGGGCATGGGGTGATGGGCATGGGGTGATGGGCATGGGGTGATGGGCATGGGGTGATGTGCATGGGGTGATGGGCATGGGGTGATGGGCATGGGGTGATGGGCATGGGGTGATGGGCATGGGGTGATGGGCATGGGGTGATGGGCATGGGGTGATGGGCATGGGGTGATGGGCATGGGGTGATGGGCATGGGGTGATGGGCATGGGGTGATGTGCATGGGGTGATGTGCATGGGGTGATGGGCATGGGGTGATGGGCATGGGGTGATGGGCATGGGGTGATGGGCATGGGGTGATGGGCATGGGGTGATGGGCATGGGGTGATGGGCATGGGGTGATGTGCATGGGGTGATGTGGATGGTGATGTGGCTGGGGTGACGTGCATGGGTTGATGTGAGGTAGTATATGTGGGTTACCTGGTCTGTTGACGTGAATGGCCATATGTTGTCCCCTCACTATCTCCCACCCGTCCCCATTGTATCCCCCCAAACCATTCCCCTATGGTCTCCCCACCCTGCCATCGTCCATCTCTCTATCCTCCTGCCTTGTGTTGTGCCCCCCTCCCCCAGGAGTACCTGGCATTGGAGGCAGTCTTTGAGAATTCTCAAGAACAATCTGCAAATTGTTCCCCTACGGTCTCCCCGCCCTTCCCTGGTCCATCTCCCTTTCCTCCTGCCTTGCTCCCCTCCCCCAGGAGTACCTTGCATTGAAGGCCGTCTTTTTTTTAATTCTCAAAAACCATCTGCAAGCCGTTCGTTCCCCTATTGCCTCCCCATTCTTTCATCCACCATCTCTCTTTCCTCCTGCCTTGTGCCCCCCTCCCCCAGGAGTACCTTGCACTGTGCCCGATTCTTCCCCACCCCCCGCACTTCCCACCCTTCTCCCCCCGACCGCCCATCCTCTTGCCCTGTGTTGTGCGCCCCTCCCTCCCCCAGGAGTACCTGGCGTTGGAGGCGGCCAGTGGCGACATGCCACGTCAGCAGGCCATGCACGAGAGGATGGTCACGGCTCTGCCTGTGGTCTTTGACGTGTGGCTCAAGTACATCGACCTCGTTGACCACAAATTGAAGGTACACATGCTCAAGGTGCGGGTTGAAATACAGCTGCCTGTGGTCTTTGACATGTGGCTCAAGTACATCGACCTCGTTGACCACGAATTGAAGGTACACATGCTCAAGGTGCGGGTTGAAATACAGCTGCCTGTGGTCTTTGACGTGTGGCTCAAGTACATCGACCTCGTTGACCACGAATTGAAGGTACACATGCTCATGGTGCGGGTTGAAATACAGCTGCCTGTGGTCTTTGACGTGTGGCTCAAGTACATCGACCTCGTTGACCACGAATTGAAGGTACACATGCTCAAGGTGCGGGTTGAAACACAGCTGCCTGTGGTCTTTCACGTGTGGCTCAAGTACATCGACCTCGCTGACCACAGGCTCAAGGTCCTTCTCTTGAAAAGGTCGACTCACTTCAAAGTTATCTTCCATGGTTACTGTAGCAGTTTTAAGCTGCTGGGTAAACGCTATTGACTCCCTTTCTTCCTTGAGCTCCCTGGTCTCTACTTCCAGCAGGCTTCCTCACTTTGCATGCCTCTCTGATCGTTCTTGATGTTATCTGTCTCTTCCCTACCCTCTTCTATCACCAGGTGTTACAGGGGCAGGGAGTGGCACTGTGGCAGGGTGATTGTTCTCCCGGCTTCTCCTCCCTCTTCTCCTGGGACAGGATGCTTACCTTTCTGATCGTTCTTGCTGTTATCTCTCTCGTTTCTACCCTCTTGTATCGCCAGGTGCCTTCTGTAGTGCGCTCAGTTTATTTCCGGGCAGCCCGAAACTGCCCGTGGGTCGGCTCTCTTTGGACTCGCTACCTCCTTGCACTTGAGCGACTGGGGGCCGCTGATGCTGACATGGCAGAGGTAGGGCATGTCAGCGCTAGTATGGAAAATCTCAGTGCAATCTGAATCGCTAGTTCAGAATGTTCCTTCTACTTCTGAATCAAGACTCCCCTCGTGTTCGCTTGTTTTGGTTTGTTTTTCTCATTTTGCGGTTGGAGCATTCTCGTCACCCCACTGCCTGATTTCATCTCATCACGAGTTTGCCTACCTTCTTTCTGATCTCATCCGTCGTTTCAGGTCTTCGAGAAGGCCCTTGTGTCTGGCGTCCAGTCTGCAGATGAGGTAAGACTGCCCTTGACCCGACCACCCTCTCTCGTACTCACCTCTCGCACCTCCCTCTTCGAGAAGGCCCTTGTGTCTGGAGACCAGTCTGCAGATGAGGTAAGCTTGGGCACCCCTATTGGCCCTCTTCCTTCGACTCTACCACTTCCTGGTTTTTCTGTGTCCACTCAATGCCCACCTCCCTCTTCGAGAAGGCCCTTGTGTCTGGAGACCAGTCTGCAGATGAGGTAAGCTTGGGCACCCCTATTGGCCCTCTTCCTTCGACTCTACCACTTCCTGGTTTTTCTGTGTCCACTCTATACCCACCTCCCTCTTCGAGAAGGCCCTTGTGTCTGGAGACCAGTCTGCAGATGAGGTAAGCTTGGGCACCCCTATTGGCCCTCTTCCTTCGACTCTACCACTTCCTGGTTTTTCTGTGTCCACTCAATGCCCACCTCCCTCTTTGAGAAGGCCCTTGTGTCTGGAGACCAGTCTGCAGATGAGGTAAGCTTGGGCACCCCTATTGGCCCTCTTCCTTCGACTCTACCACTTCCTGGTTTTTCTGTGTCCACTCAATGCCCACCTCCCTCTTCGAGAAGGCCCTTGTGTCTGGAGACCAGTCTGCAGATGAGGTAAGCTTGGGCACCCCTATTTGCCCTCTTCCTTCGACTCTACCACTTCCTGGTTTTTCTGTGTCCACTCAATGCCCACCTCCCTCTTCGAGAAGGCCCTTGTGTCTGGAGTCCAGCCTGCAGACGAGGTAAGCTTGGGCACCCCTATTGGCCCTCCTCCTTCGACTCTACCACTTCCTGGTTTTTCTGTGTCCACTCAATGCCCACCTCTCTCTTCGAGAAGGCCCTTGTGTCTGGAGTCCAGTTAGACATGGGCAAAAAAAATCGCATCGCATCGCATCGCATCGCATTTAATCGCGTTTTTGCGATGGCGATGTTTTTTTTTTTTTTTTATCATCGCGCGATGCGATGAATTAATATCGCGCGATTTAATTTAAATCGCATTTTAATCGCGCTTAAAAAACGCGATTTAAATGCGATATGCGATTTTTAAAAAATCGCACGCGATATTGCACTGAAACCCACTCTGAAACCCACTACGAAACCACACTGGTTATTTGCACTCTAGCTTAACGACTGCCCGTGAGTCAATTTCCCCGCAGCCATGGTTTTTTTCTAATTTTTTGGGGTGCTTTTTAATTCTGTTTTAAAACGCGATGCGATTTAAAATCGCATTTTGCGATTTAATTAAATATCGCATGCGATTTTTTAATACATCGCGGGTAAAATGTGATGTGCGAATTTTTTTTTTTGGAAAAATAAATCGCGCGATGCGATTTAAAATCGCATCGCATTTTTAAACATCGCACCTGCATGCGATGCGATTTAAATCGCAATCGCATTTTGATCATGTCTAAGTCCAGTCTGCAGATGACGTAAACCTGCCCTTGACGGTTGACCTGACCACCCTCTCTCCTACTCTCTCCTTTTTGCACGACTCACGATGAGTGCTTGTTGTCTGTCTGGTGTCTCTAGGCCAGCCTGCTGAGGTAACATCTTCGTTTCCTGTTCGCCTTGCCACTCCTGTCCTGTTTATTTTACTTCGCAAGGTGTTTTTAAGAATTCTCAACAACACCAGTCCGCCACTCCTGTCCTGTTTGTTTAGCCTTTCCTCTTCTCTCTTCTACCATCCACCTTTCTCTCCCCACTCCCTGCCGCAAGAATGATATAGCAGGAGCAAAAACAGGCGATATTTTAAAGCAGTATTTCGACATTTACCGCGCCGGCTTGGACGGACATCTCTCTCACCCGCTTGGACGGCCCCATGCTCTGACGGTTGCCGCAGCTCCCACTGCATGTTTCCATGGCTCCCTCTTGCATCCATCCCAACTCTCCCTTCCCCCCTGCGGCCCTGCCCAACAGTATTTCGACATCTTTCTCACCCGCTTGGACAGCCCCATGCTCTGATGGTTGCCGCAGTGCCCACCCACTGCATGTTTCCTCATTTCATTCTCAGGCGGTCACGTCACTCCATGGCTCCCTCATGCATCCATCCCCATGGCTCCCATTCCCCTACCTGCCCCAACAGTATTTCGACATCTTCCTCACCCGCTTGGATGGCTTGAGGCGCCACCTGCTGCCTCCTGAGTCTTCTAAAGGCGCTCTTAAAGGGGCGTCTCTTAGCGAGGATGAAAGGTCAAAACTTAAAGACACTCTTCGGGCTACTTTCGAGGTACGATGAGGAATCGTACGGTGCGATAATTGTGTGCACGTCTGCTCGTAGTGAGCATGAGCGGTAGTAGCTGGTAGGTAGACACCTTGCAAGCTTAGTTGCTACAAACGCGTTTAGCGAACTAAGCTTTCAAGCACTCACAAGTTCAGCTGCGAGCACTTTCTAATCCCCTCTCTCCCATTCCCACTGCTTCCATCCATCGCCTTCTCCCCTCCCGAAGTGCGCATCTGACCTCATGGCGTATTTCTGATGCACGCACCCCACCCCGGACCACCAGCAAGCTCAGCCACAACCCCTTTTCCTTCATGCCCCACCGTCCCCGCTCTCTCCTCCATTCCCCTCCCCTCAGCGTGAGAAGTCTAATTTTTAGGCGCCTCAAAAATAGACTTTCCCGTTCCCGCTCTCTCCTCCACGCCCCTCCCCTCAGCGCGCCTCTGCCTTCATGGCGTCTTACTTCCCCGACCACCAGCAAGCGCTGCTGCAGCTGGCGGGGTACCAGGCGCACATTGAGGCTCACTTGGCGGGGGCAGCAGGCGCAACTGGAATGGTGGGAGAAGGTGGTGCAGCTGGGAGGGGCGTTTGGGAGCAGTTCGTGAAGAAGCAGTGAGTCTCCTCTCCGGCCTGCGCTGCTGCTGCTGCGGCTGCTGCTGCTGCTCCTGCTGCTGCTGTGGCTCCTGCTCCTCCTGCTGCTGCTGCGGCTGCAGCTCGCGTTCGTTCAGTTTGAGGCTGGAAAGAGGAGCCTTCTCAATGCAGTTACATGACATGCCATGCATGGCACAATTCACCTTTGAGTCAACTCAATTTAGACTCCAGAGTGTTTCTTCGAATTCTCAAAACACCCTGCATGGTGCAATGCACCTTTGAGGCGGTTGACTCAATTTTGACTCCAAAGTCACATTCGTTCGTTTTGATACAGGAGAGAGGAGTCTTGACAATGCGCTAACACGCACGGCTCGATGCACCCCTCATCCATTCCTCCTCCCTCGTTCCATCCCCCCATTTCCTTGCCGTCACGCTCCCTCCCTTATCCCCTCTCCTCTGCCCCCACCCGCATCAGCAGTGCCTCTCACCAGGCGTAGCTGGCTTTCGAGTTTGAGCGGGGGGGTGCGTTTCGACGACTGGGGGACGTTTTTGCCTTGACATGCCCTTACCTGTTCTCCTCCGTCCCTAACTTCCACAGCAGTGCCTCTCACCACGCATGGCTCGCTTTCATTCAGTTGAGACTAAAAGGGGGAGCTTTCAAGAGTCACAGGGACAAGGCCATGCATCAATCACCCTCACATACCGTCTGTCTTGAGCCTCCCTCTACTCTACCCAACCCCCGACAGCGGTGCCTCTCGCGAGGCGTGGCTGGCTTTCATTCGGTTCGAGACTGAGAGGGGGTGCCTTCACGAGGCACAGTTCTCTTCCGCCCTAACATGCCCTCCTGTTGTCCCTGTCTCCGCCCTCTTTCTCCTCTTCTCCCTCCCTGTCTCCGCCCTCTTTCTCCTCTTCTCCCTCCCTGTCTCCGCCCTCTTTCTCCTCTTCTCCCTCCCTGTCTCCGCCCTCTTTCTCCTCTTCTCCCTCCCTGTCTCCGCCCTCTTTCTCCTCTTCTCCCTCCCTGTCTCCGCCCTCTTTCTCCTCTTCTCCCTCCCTGTCTCCGCCCTCTTTCTCCTCTTCTCCCTCCCTGTCTCCGCCCTCTTTCTCCTCTTCTCCCTCCCTGTCTCCGCCCTCTTTCTCCTCTTCTCCCTCCCTGTCTCCGCCCTCTTTCTCCTCTTCTCCCTCCCTGTCTCCGCCCTCTTTCTCCTCTTCTCCCTCCCTGTCTCCGCCCTCTTTCTCCTCTTCTCCCTCCCTGTCTCCGCCCTCTTTCTCCTCTTCTCCCTCCCTGTCTCCGCCCTCTTTCTCCTCTTCTCCCTCCCTGTCTCCGCCCTCTTTCTCCTCTTCTCCCTCCCCTGCTTGCCACCACCCCCAACAGCGGTGCCTCTCACGAGGCGTGGCTGGCTTTCATTCGGTTCGAGACTGAGAGGGGGTGCCTTCACGAGGCACGAGGAATTTTCCGCCGCTGCTACAGCCGGAGATTCGATTCGCCGTCAGGCACAGAGGTATGGGGTAGAGATGCATCGGTTGAGCTGGGTACGAGGGTGAAGTATGACAGAAAACCAGGGGTTGTTCCGCCGCTGCTACAGCCGGAGATTTGACTCGCGGTCAGGCACAAAGGTATGGTGAGTAACACGAGTTTGATTATGCGTTTTTCTGCGTTGTGGCATTTCGAAAAGAGAAACAAATGCGTTGGGAGGGACTTCCCAAGCCAAGCGTTTGTCTGATTTCGAACGTGTTTGGTTGTGTGTGGTTGTGAGTGGTTGTGTGTGGTTTTGTGCGATGGTGTTCTTGCATGTGCCTGTGCATGCAGGAGGTTTGTTCTGGGTGGCTGTGATTCGAGAGGGAGTGGTGAACATGTGTTTAAAAGAAAACTCCTCGTGACGAGTTGTATGTGTGTGTGCGTGCGTGCATTCCCGCCTATGCGCGCAGGAGGTCTGTTCTGCATGGCTGCGATTCGAGAGGGAGTGGGGAACACTGGAAGACCTAGACCTCGCAGCAGACAAGGTAGGGCCGCCCAGACAAGACTGGTGGGCCGCCCAGGCTAGACTGGTGGGCTGCCCAGACTAGATTGGTGGGCCGCCCATTCACGAACTTGGAAGTTGGAACAGGGAGTTTCCGTCATGAGATTCCACTGTGCATGGTTCACTGTGCATGATTCACTGTGGAGAGTTGTTAACGAGACTCGCATAACTCACCTCACCCCCTCCGAAGAATCTCAAGTACTTTGCCCAAAGCATTTTTCGAAAGTCTTTAGACGCACGTCAGAAGTTTTATCCAGATTTGCTTTCCTCAAAGTCCAAGAATAAGAATCTGTCTCCCGAAGATAGACCCTGGAAACGCCCTCCCTTGTTTCGCTTTGTCTCTCCCCTGCTCTGCCTCCCCTCTCATTGGCAGGTGGCACCTCGTCTGGCCGAAGCAGCAGCGCACCACGCACAGGAGCACGCGCAGCTGCTGGCGATGCAGCAGCAGCAGGAGGAGCAGGCTCAGCAGCAGCAGGTGGGGGAACAGGGGCGCGGGCAAAAGCGCAAGGCAGGCGCAGGGGAAGGAGGACGAGCAGGAGGGAGGGAGGAGAGGAGGGGAGGGGGAGGAGAGGGCCGAGGAGGAAGGGGGCAGGGGGCGGAGGAGGGTGGAAGGGACCGAGGCAAGAGGCAGCGTCCGGGATTAGGGTTTGACAAGAGGCAGGGCCGTGGCAAAGAGGCTGGTTCGGAGACAGCAGCAGACAAGGGGAAGGAGGGGAGGAGTGAGGCTTCAGGGAGAGAAGAAAAGGAGCAGGGAGGGGATCAAAAAGAAGAGGGAGGGGAGAGACAGGAGCAGGTTGGGGCAAAACACGAGGAGGAAAAGCAGGAGGCGGAGAAAAAGGACGGAGGGCAGGAGGGGCAGCAGGGGCAGCAGGGGCAGCAGGGGCAGCAGGGGCAGCAGGGGCAGCAGGGGCAGCAGGGGCAGCAGGGCCGCTTCTTTACGGACAAGAATACGGTTTTCATCTCGAACCTGGACCTCAGTGTAAGCATGCTCGGCGGTAAAGCCTAATGTTTTTATCACACAGGTAAGATACCGGTATGCTCGACCTGGAAAGTGTGAGAGAACTTAAAATTTCATCCTTTTCCTAGATTCAAGTTTTATCTCAATGGTGTTTATTTGAGAATGGTTGAAGCACAACCAAGGCCAACCCTAACCAATTTCTGTTTATGAGTGCATCGGATGGGACTCTCTCCATGCCTCTTTGCTTCAACAGTCAGTGCTCGTTTGACTGAGCAGTGCATGGGCTGAGCAGGACATGGGCTGAGCAGTGAAGGAACTAGCTTGGAAGAGAAAAGATTGAATTGAGTAGGGAGCCAAGAGGCTCTTTTTGTACAAAACAAGGAGCAAGGAAGAGTTGGAAGGGAAGCTCTCCTATTGGCCATAAAGTGGACCAATGGGGGAGGTTGCTTGTAGGGCAAGCAACCACAAAAGTGTGGTGCTCTCCTATTGGTCACAATGTGGACCAATGAGAGAGATTGCTTGGAAGGCAAGCAACCACAAAGTGTGGTGCTTGGTGATTGGTTGGTTCCTAGGACCAAAGACCATTTGGTTGGAATAGTGCCAACCAAATGTCTAGGACCAAATCCAATCTTGACCAACCCAAATGTGGGGTTGGTCAACCCAACCAACAACCCCCCAATAATTATAATGACTACACCTCCTAATCTAGGCATGCATGTTGTATAGATATATATTTTACAACAAGCAGGACATGGGCTGAGCAGGACATGGGCTGAGCAGGACATCGGCTGAGCAGTGCATGGGCTGAGCAGGGCATGGGCTGAGCAGGACATGGGCTGAGCAGGACATGGGCTGAGCAGGACATGGGCTGAGCAGGACATGGGCTGAGCAGTGCATGGGCTGAGCAGTGCATGGGCTGAGCAGGACATGGGCTGAGCAGGGCATGGGCTGAGCAGGACATGGGCTGAGCAGTGCATGGGCTGAGCAGTGCATGGGCTGAGCAGGGCATGGGCTGAGCAGGACATGGGCTGAGCAGGACATGGGCTGAGCAGGGCATGGGCTGAGCAGGACATGGGCTGAGCAGGACATGGGCTGAGCAGGACATGGGCTGAGCAGGACATGGGCTGAGCAGGACATGGGCTGAGCAGGACATGGGCTGAGCAGGGCATGGGCTGAGCAGGGCATGGGCTGAGCAGGACATGGGCTGAGCAGGACATGGGCTGAGCAGGACATGGGCTGAGCAGGACATGGGCTGAGCAGGACATCGGCTGAGCAGTGCATGGGCTGAGCAGGGCATGGGCTGAGCAGGACATGGGCTGAGCAGGACATGGGCTGAGCAGGACATGGGCTGAGCAGGACATGGGCTGAGCAGTGCATGGGCTGAGCAGTGCATGGGCTGAGCAGGACATGGGCTGAGCAGGGCATGGGCTGAGCAGGACATGGGCTGAGCAGTGCATGGGCTGAGCAGTGCATGGGCTGAGCAGGGCATGGGCTGAGCAGGACATGGGCTGAGCAGGACATGGGCTGAGCAGGGCATGGGCTGAGCAGGACATGGGCTGAGCAGGACATGGGCTGAGCAGGACATGGGCTGAGCAGGACATGGGCTGAGCACCACCGCATGGGCTGAGCACCACCGCCACATGTGCTGTCCTGCACCGCACACGCTGGATGCAATCAAAGCGCACTTGAACCGTTGCGTCTTCTGTGGCTGTCTTGCAGCTTTCACCTTTTCTGTGCATCCCTAGACTGAAGGTTTAAATCAGACGGCTACAGAAGGATAGCGACTTCCGACACAACCCTTGTGTCGCTATCCTCAACTCTTGTTTCCTCTTGGGGGGTCGGTACTTGTTCCCGTCTCAACTCTTCCTCTCCTGCTCCCTTCCCTCCCACCCAGACAACTCAGCATGAGGTGCGAGAGCCGTTAAAAGATTGTGGCTTTCCAATCGTATTATTTTGCGCAATTATCTCTCAAGTTCGCCTGCGCTCATCTCTCCCACCAGACGACTCGAGATGACTCGAGTCGACTGGAGACGACTCGAGACGACTGGAGATGACTCGAGACGAAATACGGGAGCTGCTGAAGGCTTGAGTATTCCGCTCGAGCTGCTGATGACTCGAGCTGCTGAAGGCTTGAGGCTTTCTAATACACCTCATTCCGCGCATTCGCCATTTCTGTCCTGCTCCTTTCTCTCCCACCAGACGACGCAGGGCGAGATCAGAGAGCTGCTGAAGGATTGTGGCGAGATCCTGGACGTGAGGATGGTGTTCAACCACTCCACGGGGCAGTTCCGGGTGAGTGCCATAGGTGTCACGTGGCAGTTAGGGCGAGTATTGCAAGGCTTCCACGTGGCAGTTCAAATGAGCAGTCTCACGAAAGTGAGCGTCTGGGGGAGTTGACTGAGATACGGGACATGAGGGTGGTGCGCTCAAGTTGAGGGTGGTGCGCTCAAGTTTAGGGTGGTGCGCTCAAGTTTAGGGTGGTGCGCTCAAGTAGAGGGTGAGCGCTCAAGTAGAGGGTGAGCGCTCAGCTCAACCACTCCACAGGGCACTTCAGGGTGAGTGCCCTGCCACGTGGCATTTAAGGTGATGATTATGGCACGACGCCTCAATTTCTTTCTAGTGGTCTCAGGAAAGGGCTCTCCTCTGGCTGGGGGAGTTAAGTGAGACCGGGACGTGAGGGTGGTGGTCAACCACTCCATGAGGCAGTTCAGGGTGAGTCGTTGTTGGTGAAAGGACGTACCTCTTGCTGTCTTTCGGGTACGTCTCATTTTGCAGGGTGTTTTTGAGAATTCTCAAAAACGTCTCATTAAGAGCCTCTGAAGGAGTCTAGTTTGGAGGCACCTTAAAACGATTGTGGCAGGATCCGGGGCGTGAGGATGGTGTTTAACCACTCCACCAGGCAGTTCAGGGTGGGCTTTATTTGTTCCCGATGAGAAATGCCTGCTTTCTTTAGTCCGGGGGGCGTCTCAAGCAAGGGGTTTGGCTGGGAGTTGGGCGAGTGATAGGAGGTGACTTCTGAGTCGACTCAAAACTCAGCTCGTTACAATGCCACAGGGAGCTTTCCTTGTCGTCTGTAGGGCGTCTCAAGCAAGGGGTTTGGCTGGGAGCTGGGCGAGTGATGGGAGATGGGAATGCTGCTCTATTTTTGATTCGAATCACATATAGACTCATAACACACGTTGTTTGGCTGGGAGTTGGGCGAGTTATAGGAGGTGAGGATGGTGCTTCATTAGTTACTGCATTTTTTAGATGACTTTTGAATCGACTCAAAGGGCTTCGCCTATGTGGAGCTGGGCTGCACGGAGGTGGTAGTAGCAGACTGACCGAACGACCCCTCTTTCCCCCCCTCCTTTTTCTCATCGGCCCTGTTCGCAGGGCTTTGCTTATGTGGAGGTGAGCACTGCAGAGGCAGTAGTAGCAGACTGACCGACCAACCTCTATGCCACTGAACTCCCCCCCCCCGGCCTCCTTTATTTTTTCGCCCCCATTCGCAGGGCTTTGCCTATGTGGAGGTGGGCAGTGCGGAGGCAGTAGTAGCAGCCGAGAAGCTCAACAAGACGCCAATGAGAGGGCGCCAGGTGTCCATCAAGAAGTCGGACCCGTCTGGCGGCCACAGGGACCGTGGCAGGGGGAGGGGGTGGGGTGGAGGAGGGGGCCGTGGAAGGGGTGGTGGACGGGACGGGCATCACGAGGCGGAGGAGGAAGGTGAGAGGTGCTCTGGTACTTGTTGGTCTTGCTGCTCCTTATGAGTCGAACGCCGAGGTCTTGCTGCCAGTGCCATTTGTTCTTCAGGAGGTCGGAACCTGCTGGCCTTGCTGGCTAGAGGGATTGGGACAGGGGGAGGGGATGGGGGGGGGGGGGGGGGGGAGTGAGGGGGGAGGAAGAAGCGGATGCTAGGAGGCAGAGGAATGTGAGAGTTGACTTTTGAGTTGACTTTTGAGCCGACTTTTGAGTTGACTTTTGATGTTACTTCTGAGTTTATTCAAAAGATGAGAGTACTCGTTGTCCCTGCTGCTTGTCATGAGTCTCATACTTATCCCCAGCCCATTTCCCCACCCCCCTCCCCCCCACAATCCCCCCTTCCTTTCTAGCCTACCATCCATCCACCAGGGGAGGCAGAGGGGGGAGGGGAGGGCGGGGCGGCGGCGGTACACGTGGCGGCCTGCAGCCGCTGTCAGCTAGTGCCAGGCGGGCGGGGCAGCTGCAGCTGATTGGTTCGCCGACCTTTGCCATGCCCCGTGCCGTGGGGCAGGCCCTAGGGAGAGGTGTGGCAGGGAGGGTAGGGGGAAGAGGAGGAGGAGGAAGAGGAGGGGGGAGGGGTGGGATGGGGAGAGGGCAGGAGGGTGGGGGTGTAGGAGGGGAGATGGGTGGAGGGGAGAAGGGGGGTGGTAAGGTGGATGGGGAAGGGGAGGGAGGAGAGGGTAAGGTGAATGGCGTGGCTGGTGGTGGGGCGGGAGGAGATGGTACCCCCCTGAACTCTAATGCCGCGTTCAGAAAGATATTTGCGAAGAAGCTCGAGAGTTGAAGACGCGGCACTTCGAAACTGGTTTCCGTGTTCCGAAAGGGCATGTCTTAAGCATTGTCTTGTATGAAGTTTAGTATTGGAAGTCATGTTAGAAAATGTAGGGTTTTTTTAACGAAATGGGTGCATATGGATGCACCCTTAGTATGTTTGATCATGCAAGGCTCTACTCTAAGATTGCTGTACTAGAAACAACGAGAGGGCCTGTGAACAGCTGATTTGGCAAGACCGCTAGTGTTGTCCATCAGTGTTGAATTTTCGCCCATTGAAGCTTGATGCAGTAGTTGTGTCAGGAAGGATGTACAGTTCCACCTCATAGCAAGGCAGCGTATACGGAGATTAAGGGCATTAATAACTTTTCTTTGGGTCAGCGGCCAGGAACACACAGGCACCCCGAATATTCCCTTTTTTGCCGCATTGGATGATGAGCCTCGCTTTTACAGGCCACGAGTCATAGATCAGATCGTGTTAGCCAATCAAAGCGCGCCATTTCCCAGCAAAGGCCTTTCCATCCTGTGCCCTTGTTCCTTCATCCCCCGACCGCGCTGCGTCAAGATTCCACCCTTGGCTTGGCGGCGGCTGCCCGAGGAAGCGTCCGGCTCGGTTTGGTTGGGTTCACTTTGCTTCCCTGCCCGCCAACTGCAATTTCAGTTGGTGGCCGCGCGTCATGCTGCCGCCGCTGCACGATGGCAGCATGATGTTGGGAAAAAAAAAACGTTTCGATTGGTGCATGCCACGTCGAATCAAAAGCTACAGTCCATGCTGTGCAACGGTAGGGCGAATTCATGTTGATCCACCCTTGCAAGCCGCGTCACCTGCCCGCACGAAACCTTGGTTGGCTTGCTTCATGCACTCCCGCTCTGGCTTGGGTTTTATGGCAGTGGGGAACGCGGTTGGCTGGCTTGCCGGGCAGCACCACACTGTGGTTCTCAGGTTTCTAAGACGGCTTAAAACGATACAGTTCGGTCCAGTGACATGTCAAAGTCTCATTCTACCTATTCCACAGGTGCAGCTAGGGCAAAACCTTGCTGAAAACCGCCATTGAATATCGGGATTCGGGACACTCCATGTGTTCTCCTCACCACCACAAAACACTCTGCTGTGTTCTCATCTCACCCTGCACCAAACTCGTTTACGGCAGTGCCGCTAGTTTTTATTGGCTGAAGCTCCTGTTTGCTCCCGTGGTTTCAAAACGCGGGAGACTAAAGCGGCAACATCGGGGGCGTTCGTGCGCGGAACCTAGCTCTTTTCCATCGAGCAGGAACTAACGGGCGATCGACTAGGTATCGAGTTTTGCGCAGCCGCGTGATAGGAGTCTAGTTTGAGGCGCCTCAAAAAGTGTTCGTGCGTGGAAACGAATTATTTGTCGTCGAGCGGGAACTAACGGGCGTTTGGCTTTTGTATCGAGGTTTGCGCAGCCACACCATGACGCGTAGACGGGCGCGGAAACAGCAAGGGGCGCGAAGCTAGCATTTCCGGTCGAGGGTGTCGTTTAGGCTGTTTGAGGCAGCTTTAGGTGTTTCCAACGGTTAGCAAAGCACGTTTACGCAACCGATCGGGTTACCACGTCCACTTCTGTCGCTCTCTTCGCCTCTTGACGAAACCATCGCACACACCACACACGGCAATGGTGGCCGAGGTGACAGTAGCGGGGTGGATGTCCACCAGGGGGTTGACACTAACGGGGGCGATCCCCTCCTGTACAGCGCGGCATGGGAGATCGACAGCACTGGCGAGTTCCGCAGCGGGCGCTGTTCGGAGATTCGCGGTGCTGGGAAGGCAGAGGACGCTGAAGACGACGGCGGTCGTGGCGAGTTTTGGGGCGCCTCAAAAGTGGAGATTCACCGTCCTGGGAAAGCAGAAGACCAAGACGAGACAAACGACGCAGGCCACAACGGTGGCGTCGTGTTCAGAAGCTGTTTGCGCGAGATTTGGGTTCGGCGGTAGAGGCGGTGGGTTGGACGCTTTCGCATACGGCCGTGCGATGCGGCGATCCCTCGCCGAGCCGGTCATACGACGCCGTGCGATCGCCGGGTCTGGTCGGCCGGCCAGGCTGCGATTCGAGCTCGTGGGGCCGCCGTCCACGGCGTTGCCGCGACTCGACGTTAAGGTGCGCTTTACTAGCTGTCGGTCTTCGTCGCACTTCATGGCTCACGCATCGTCGCATTTCATGGCTCATACATTTTGTCGCACTTCATGGCTCACACGTTTCGCTGCATTTAGGTTTGTCGATGCATGTAGGTTTGTCGATGCATGTAGGTTTGTCGATGCATTTCATATGCTCCGTCCACCCTCCTCACGCTTGCCCCTCACGTCTCCCTCCTTTCCCTTTCCCCCGCCCCCTCCCCCCCTCCCTCCCCCTCCACCTTTTCCCTCCCCCTTCCCCCCCTCGCTCCCCCGCCTCTCCGCGCGTCGTCTCCCCTGCATGTTGTTGTCCGCGCATTGCCACCTCTCCCGGTCTCTTTCATCGGGATTGCGACGTTGATGACGTGGACACAAGCGCGTGTCAGAACCGGCTTCTCACTCCTTGTTCTCACCTTGCCCTGTCGCACACCCTGTCGCCCACCCTGTCGCCCACCCTGTCGCCCACCCTGTCGCCCATCCTGTCGCTCACCTTGTCGCTTCCATCAGGCGTGCGACGGCGATGACAGCGATGACGTGGACACCAGCGCGTTCTGCGGCGGCTCCTCCGGCAACGGCGCACTCTTCCGCATGGCCGGCTCGGGCGCAGCGACTGCTGACGTGTCACTCGCGGATTCGCTGGACGAGCTGGGCGGCGGCGGCCCGGAGGAGCGGTTCGGCGTGAACGGGCGGCGCGTGAAGTTCAAAGTGGGCGGCTCGGAGGAAGCTTCGTCGGAGGTTCTTGGGGCGGCGGCGAAGGAGATGGAGAAGGGTGTTGAGGCGGTCGGGTCGGCGGCGCTTAAAACGCGGAAGGAAGAGAGAGCAGATTTGACCGAGGAAGAGGCGAAGCGAAAGAGAAGGTAAGCAGAGTACTAAATCATAGTAGAAGGGCGTGGGGGCGGTTGGGTCGGCGGCGCTTCGGACGCGGGAGAAGGAGAGAGGCGCTGAGAGCGCGGAGGAAGCCAAACGAAAGAGACGGCGAGGAGCCAGCTCCGTGGTTAAGTCGGTTAGTTTGACGTCTCGCTCTTCTCCTCCTTGCCCTCCTCCTTACCCTCCTCCTTACCCTCCTCCTTGCCCTCCTCCTTGCTCCGTGGAAAACTAACCCACTTAACGGAAAGGACGGTGAGGAACCAGCTTTTCTCCTCCTCGCTCTCATCCGCCTCATCCTGTCGCGTCCTAACCGACAGGACAGGATCCTTCCTCATGCCATTTCCCACCCCCTCCTCGCCCCCCCTCCTCCTCCCCCTCCTCCTCCCCCTCCCCCCCCTTCCCCCCACTTTCCCCCCCCCCTCGTGTTTAATCGCAGATTGTCCCATGGGCGCATCATTTCAGCCCTGCTCTTCGTCGCCCTCCTCGCTACCCTCCTCCTAGTCGACTCCTACATCTGGCGCCTCATCCGCCGCCCCCTAGCTGCCTTCTTCCTCACCATCCCCTTTCTAGTCGCCGCCGCCACGTCAGCGTACGCAGGCGCCATAGCCATCCCGTTCCTGGGGTCCCTTAAAGCCCAGCAGGTGCTGCGGGTGGAGGGCCCCGCGACTCACGCAGTTAAAGCCGGGACGCCCACCATGGGCGGGCTGTTCTTCGTCCCGCTGGGGGTGATTGTAGCGAGAGTGGCTACAGGGAACCCCCCCGAGCTGGCGGGGGTGGCGGGCGCGACGCTGGCGTTGATGGGAGTAGGGGCGGTGGACGATGGGTTGTCGCTGGCTAAGAAGCACAACTACGGGCTGCCGGGGATCGCCAAGCTCGGGCTACAGGTAAAACCTTCGACCCTTGACCCATTTAGCCCTTGCTGGTGGTGTGGCAATGATGGCTGGTGGGGGTGGTGGACGATGGGCTCTCACTGACAAAAGAAGCACAACCACGGGCTGCCTGGGATAGCGAAGCTCGGGCTGCAGGTGAACTCTTTAACCCTTGATGGTGGTGTGGCGTTGATGGCGGTGGGGGCGGTGGACGATGGGGTGGCGCTGGCTAAGAAGCCCAACCACGGGCTTCGGGGGATTGCCAAGCTCGGTCTTCAGGTGAGCCGTTAAACCTTTAAAATCTTGAGAGGGGGGGCACCCACTGGAGTTGTTGGAGCACCAGCAGCAGCGGTGGCGTTGATGGCTGCGGGGTCTATTTTTGAGGCGCCTAAAAAATAGACTCCTCACGAGTTGTTGGGGCACCAGCAGCAGCGGTGGCGTTGATGGCTGCGGGGGCAGTGGGGGCGGTGGGGGCAGTGGGGGCGGTGGATGGGTGATGGGATGTCTCTGGCTAAGAGGCACAACCACGGTTTTCTGGGGATAGCGAGGCTTGGCCTACAGGAAGGCCCTTTCACGCTTAACCTCCTAACCTTTCGAACTTTGATGGTGGTGGGGACGTTGGATAACGGGCTGTCTCTGGCTAAGACGCACAACTATGGGCTGCTGCCTGGGATTGCAAAGCTTGGCCTGCAGGTAAAAATGTGCCCCATGGGAAATAAGCATGGATGGAGCCCTCCTCTCCCCATCCCTGTTCCACGAGCTCCCTTGAATTGAACCAATTCCTCTCAACCCCACGCGATAGTAATTTAGGTTTGAGACGACTGGAAACTAAATTCCCCTCACCCCCACCCCACCCTCCCCCCTCCCCTCTCCTCCCCCCCCCCCCCCCCCGCCCCCTTTGCTTCCGTGCAGGTGGCTGTGGCCACAGCATTCAGTTACTGGCTGCACAGATCCCTCCTCGTTCAATGCTCCTGGTGAAAATTTCTCCCCCCCCCCCACACACACACCCCGCTTCCCCTCCCTCTCGTGCAGGTGGCTGTGGGCACGGCACTCAGTTACTGGCTGCATGGAGCCAACCTGCAATCACCATACTCCATGTATGCACGGCTTGTTTGTTTGCATTTTTGTTGCAAGTTCTACCCGGGGCCGTGTGTGGCGCTCGGGGCCGTGTGTGGCGCTCTGTAGTTCCTGTCACTGTTCACTCCACTCCCTCTATGCATGCATGCATGCATCTCTCATCATTGTGTTTGCTCTCCTTCCCCATCACCTTCCCCAATTCCCACGCATCCCCCATCCGTTTCAGGAAGAATCTCGTTCCTCTGCCTCAACCCTTCGGTCTCTGGTACATTGGCAGGTGAGACACTCCTGTTTGCACTTGGGTCTGTGAGATCTGGCTGCAAATATAATACAGATGGTACATTAATTGGATTCAAATGGTTTCACTCAGCCACTGTCTTCGAAAGAATCTGCTTCTCCTGCCGCAGCCGTTTGGTCTCTGCTACCGTCGCAGGTGAGTCTTTTAGATTTGTTATGGATTGGTCTTTAATTCGTCGTACCCCTTATAACCCCGGCTCCTCTACTCCCCATAACCCTACCAGGTGGTACGTGCCTCTGACGGTCTTCTGCATGGCGGCTATGAGCAACGCCGTCAACCTCACCGATGGTCTCGACGGTCTAGCTGCCGGCACCACTGCTGTAGCCTTTGTTGCCATGGCCATCGCATGCCTCCCAATATACCCTGGTAAGCCACCACACGCCCCTGTTAGTTGACCCGTTTAGCTGGACCGTTGTCAACGGACTGACCCGGGTAAGACTTTTTCGAATTCTTGAGAGCTGACTTTTGAGTCGACTCAGAAGTCAACCCCGTTTAGCTGGACCTGACTCAATTGACTGACCCAGGTAAGACTTGTTCGACTTTTTTGTCGCATGGAGTGGCCATCGCTTGCCTTCTTATTTTCCCTGGTACCCCCGTTACATATTCTGCCGTTTATCTCACATTCTGCTGTTTATCTCACATTCTGCTGTTTATCTCACATTCTGCTGTTTATCTCACATTCTGCTGTTTATCTCACATTCTGCTGTTTATCTCACATTACATTCTGCTGTTTATCTCACATTCTGCTGTTTATCTCACATTCTGCTGTTTATCTCACATTCTGCTGTTTATCTCACATTCTGCTGTTTATCTCACATTCTGCTGTTTATCTCACATTCTGCTGTTTATCTCACATTCTGCTGTTTATCTCACATTCTGCCGTTTATCTCACATTCTGCTGTTTATCTCACATTCTGCTGTTTATCTCACATTCTGCTGTTTATCTCACATTCTGCTGTTTATCTCACATTCTGCTGTTATCTCACATTCTGCTGTTTATCTCACATTCTGCTGTTTATCTCACATTCTGCTGTTTATCTCACATTCTGCTGTTTATCTCACATTCTGCTGTTTATCTCACATTCTGCTGTTTATCTCACATTCTGCTGTTTATCTCACATTCTGCCGTTTATCTACCCTGTGCATCCGCTGTGTACTTTCGCCATGCCGGTTATGCATGTGAAATATTCATCATTAAACTTATGCAGCATCCCAGCATCCCATCCCCCATTCCCTCCCTTCCTGTCACCTCCCCTTCCCATCAAGCAGGGGGGCGTTTGGAGACCCGGATGGTACAGGCTCTCATTCCCTTCCCTTCTCTGCCACCCCGCATCCCATCCTTCCCGTCAGCTGTGGGTGCGTTCGGAGCAGCGATGGCGGGCGCATGTTTGTATGTTTGTATGTTTGTATGGGGACATAGGAGCTCATTCCCCACCTTCCCATCCATCCCTCGCCTCATTCCCCTTCAGCCATGGGAGCGTATGGAGCAGATTTTGAGGCGCCTAAAAAAAAAGAATTCGGAGCAGCGATGGCGGGGGCATGCGTGGGGTTCCTGGCGCACAACTGCCATAAGGCGTCAGTCTGTATGGGGGACAAAGGATCTCTCATTTCCCGCCCTCCCATCCATCCCTGGCCTCATTCCCCTCCAGCCATGGGAGCTTTTGGGGCAGCAATGGCGGGGGCGTGCGTGGGGTTTCTAGCGCACAATCGCCATAAGGCGTCAGTCTTTATGGGGGACACGGGCTCCTTAGCTCTGGGTGCTGCCCTTGCTGCTATGGCTGCCACCACGGGCCTTTTCCTCCCGCTTTTCATCGCCTCATCAGTTTTCGTCTTGGAAACCGTGTCGGTGTCGCTACAGGTAAGCCTTGATACGAGTGCCACTATTCCCACAAGCCCTGCCAGCACCGGCCTTTTCCTCCCTCTCTTCATCGCCTCATCAGTCTTCGCCCTCGAGACGGTCTCAGTTTCGCTACAGGTAAACCTTGCCACTAGTGCAACTTGCTACTTGTGACCTTGTTAAATGTGCAACTCGTTCAAGCGGAACCACCACCAGCTTCTGAACCCCTGTGACTCTTGTTGCTTTCCCACTCTTCCACCCCCCTCCGCCCCCCCACAATACTCAGGTGTTTTTCTTCCAGCTGACCAAGCGGCTCACAGGCACGGGACGAAGAATCTTCCGCATGGCGCCCTTCCACCACCACCTGGAGCTCTCAGGGATGGTGGAAACCACCGTCGTTATGCTGGCTTATATTGCGGCATTTGTGGCGGGAGCTGCTGCTGTCTGGGTGGCGATAATATCGGTCTAGTCCAGCTCATACTTTTTGCTTACCCGGCAATGATCCAGTTTTGTCTCGTATATTCATGGCTTGTAACGTGTTCCCCTTAAATGTACAAATGAATTTTTCCCTTCCTGCACTGTGCAAACAGCAATACAAAAGGTTGATTCCATAGGGTTTGGGGATGTTGAAAAAAGTGATGATCATGTATATTGTGGAGGAGGTTAGGTTAGGTGCTCAAGTTTTGTATTCTAATTTGAATGTTTGTTGCTTCTTGTTTGCTTGCTTCGTATGTCCCGAACTGACTTCTCCTGTACGGGAACCAATCATCAAGCAACACCACTTGTGGCGCTATGCAATTTGTCAGGCACCACCCTGGGAAGGTCGAACCTGCCTTGAATTGTCAAACGGATGCACACCATACGAAGAAATTCAGCGAAGTGCGAAAGGTTTTATTGGCGGGGAGGACTTGTGTGCGAGAAGTGAGAGTTTTACCGTCGAATCGCAGTGTGTCAGAAGCCCTTCTGGCGAGGGAGAAAGGCTCGTTGCGAGACTTAGAGTCGTCGGTAGCACTGTGCGTCGCCGCACCCTGCTCGGAACAAACTTTCAATGAATTCGTCCCCCCCTAAAGTTTCTTCGAACTTTACTTGACGCTGTCGCAAAACTTTCGTCAACTGGTTTGGCGCCAGTCGTTGATCAACTTTGATGTGGCGACGCAAAACGACGACTGCTTGTCGACGCTCCGGATGCTACCTGTCCCCACATTGTACCTGTGACTACCAATCACGGACAAGCAACCACCAAAATCTCGCGAATCGCAGAGCTTGGACGCGAACTAGGCCGATTCGCTCCATCCTTCGCAATTTTCCCCACTCCATCGCTTTAGCCCCTTGCTGCGAACCCCCCTTGCTTGAAAATTCGTTCGCGAGTTAGTTTCCGTACCCCTTCGCCGAGTCGCTTCGTCAAGAATGCCCGAGTCGCCAATGCTCCGTAGTGAAATGTCTCAATGTCCACCTTCAATTCCCACGTTGAAATTCACGCATTTCCATGTTCCAACCCATCAGCCGACATCTTCGGTTCGAAGCCCCTGTCTAGCACGGCTGCGAAAACTCCACCTCAACACCCCTCCTCGTTTCTCACATCCCTTCGACTTGCGGCAGTTAGCCTCGGAGCCGCAGTGCCCTAAACCCTTTCTCGTACCACCCGCCTCCACAATAACGCTGACTAGCTCTCCGTGCTGTACCAAAAAAATGGGCCCAGTTCGGCTGTCGGCGCTCCATGCGTCTGTATTCCTTCTTCTCGCCTCGGCTGTTCTGGTCGGTGCAGAAGACTATCTCGGGTTGCCCACATCCAAGTACGAGCACGAATGGGCCAAGTATCGGCAACCTGACGGGCTCCTATCGCTCGACTACCTGAAGGAAGGCGGCGATGGCGACAAGATCAGAGGACGGAAGGCCATGGAGAACCTCTTCGAAGTCGTCTTCGTAAGTCGAAATCGTAACTTCGTGAAGGAATTCTCTCCATGAACGCATGCTTGTCGTCGAATACTGATGCGTATCATAAAGCTCCTTGCTTCGTACGCCGCTCGGGCGTTTGACATCGCGAAATCGCTCATTCACGCTCCCATGCAATTCCATTCCGCGCCTCTTCCCCTACGTTTCCGCAGTGCTCCGCGCTCCCGTCGAAGCAAGTGCTCCCGAACAACCTCTTCCAAAACCCGGAATTCACGGAAGGCATCGACCCGTGGCAGGGCTTCGGCTGGTCGTCCGTGTACGCGGTAAAAGACGCCCGGCTAAACTACGGCGTGTGCACGAACCGATCCGAAGCCTACGCCGGCCCGATGCAATCCGTTTCTAACCTGCCGGCCGCGTCTTACGAGATGATCGTCTGGGTCCGGCTGAACGCCGGCGACCGGCAGTACGTGAACGCGAACGTCAACATTAACGGCCAGTACGTCTGCATCGGCGGCGCGATCGCCAAATCCAACTGCTGGACGAAGCTCATGGGTGGATTTACCCTACATAGTCCACTAGACAAGGCTAGTATCTACATCCAAGGGGCGACTCCCGGCACTGAGATATGGATCGCGCAGGCGTCGCTGCATAAGGTGGATAAGGACGATTGGCTCGCGCAGCAGAAGGCGAGCATTGAAAAGCATCGCATGCGCGACGTCGCGTTGACGGTGAATGGAAATAACGGACAGCCTGTGGACGTGGTGATCAACCAGATTCAGTCGGATTTTCCGTTTGGCGGAAACGTTAACGGCGCGATCCTTTACGACCAGAACTACCAGAAGGTACGGATAGCGGAATGGGCCTGGATTTTTTCGAATCAGCCACAAAATCTCTCCCAAATTGGAGGCTCCACCAGTTTTTAGAGCCTGACGAACGCTTGCGAGAACCACGTTCACAAGCTCATAGTGCTTGCTTTATCTTGCTCCCTTTTCCTCACCCCCCGTTTCGCCTTTCCCCTCCGCTTTCTCCATCCCCTCGTTACAGTGGTTCAAGGCTCGCTTCAACTGGGCCGTGTTCAATAACGAGGGCAAGTGGTACTTTAACGAGGGAGTCAAGGGTGTAGAGAATTACACTGTAACGGACGCGATGACAAACTGGTTTCGCGAACGAAACATCAACGTTCGCGCGCACAATCTGTTCTGGGCAGTGGAGAATTTCGTGCAGCCCTGGGTCAAGGTGAGCATTGCTACACTCCGTACGCTTTACAATATCATTTGGCTCTGCTCCCCAGATCATCCGGCCTTTCACTCCCTTCGCGCCCTCCCCCTTTCCCCACGCCTTCCCTCCCGCCATTCCACTTCAACCTCCCATCAATGCCCTCTCCCCCCCTTCCCCCCCTTTTCCCCCCTTTTCCCCCCCCTTTCCCCCCCTCTGCCCCCCCCTCTGCCCCCCCCTCCCCTCTCGTTCCGCCTGTTCAGGCCCTCAACGACCAGGACCTGTGGGCGGCGATGCAGCGAAGACTGAACCATGCGGTAACCCGTTACAAGGGGCAGGTGCAGCACTGGGACATTCTCAACGAGCCGCTGCACGGCAACTACTTCGCGGACCGCCTAGGCCCGCAGGTGCACGAGTGGATGTACAAGGCTACTAACGCGATCGACAATAACGCGCAGCTGTTCATTAACGACTATAATACGGTCGAGGAGTGCGACGGCGTGTCGCATCCCGAGTATTACCTCGCGAAGGTGTGGGCGATGACGACACGTGGCACGCCGATTACCGGGATCGGCGTCGAGTCGCACTACAGCAAGGAGCCGCAGCCGGTGAGTTGGTAGCGGGTGCGGAGTGCGCAGAATGTAACAACGTTACCAGATCGATTCGTATAGCCAAGATGACAGAGTCGCACTACAGCAAGGAGCTGCAGCCGGTGAGTTGGATGAGAGGGGGCCTGTGAACTAGTGCGCTAAGACGGAAAGTAACCTGAACCAAAATCGAGTAACAAGTAACCAGTAACTAAGTAATGCTACAGCAAGGAGCCACAGCCGCAGGGAGTCTCCAATGCCCTCGCTTCTCTCGCGGGCTCGCCTGAGGCACGATCTGAACCAACAAGGTGCCCAACGACGCGACCCTGCTTACCCCGTGCTGCTCTCCTCCCTGATTTTGCTTTTGCAGGGAGTTTTTGAAAATTCTCAAAAACTCCCCCCGTTTCCCGCCCTCGTTTCCTCGCAGGCCCGTCTGCGGCACGACCTGAACCAGCTCGCAGTAGCGGGAATCCCTATCCGGTTTTTGAGTCGACTCAAAAATCTATCCGGCTCACAGAATTGGACTTTTAACTAAGTGCCCGAAGATTTTTTCCGCCTGACTCCCTCCTGCTCGCCTCCCAACTCCCCCGTCATCTCCCGCAGGCCCGTCTGAGGCACGACCTGAACCAGCTCGCGGTGGCGGGAATCCCGATCTGGCTCACCGAATTGGACTTCAACAAGGTCCCCGACGACGCGATTCGCGCCGACTACTTCGAGTCGGTCATGCGCGAGGCGTTCGCGCACCCCGCCGTGCGCGGGATCGTGAACTGGTCCGCAGGGCGCGCCACGTGTGATAAGTACAGGGACGTGGACCCCGGCATGTGCGAGCCGTGCGAGGCATGCTTCGCGGACTCCAACTACGTCGATAACGAGCTCGGGAAGAGGTGAGGAACGCTTCGGGCATTTCTCTGTTGCATCTCCCTCCTTTATTGACCCCCCCCCTCCCCCCACCCCCCAACCTCCTCCCCTCCTCCTCCGAAGTCTCCCCCACCTCCCCTATGTTCTCTCTGCTTCGCGGACACACCAACTTGGTGTTTAAAGAGTCTGCTTTTGACTCGACTCAAAAGAACTCCAACTTGGCGGTTCTTGGAGTTGAGTCAAGAACTCCAAGGAACTCGGGAAGAGGTGAGACGCGCTTCTTTCCCCTCTTGGATGAGGGGGGGGGGGGAGCATTGCTCTGTCGCTTACCCACTCCCTCTCTCCCTCCCGGTCTCCCTCCCTCACCCAACTTCGTGGAAGTGGTGAGAGCCACTCCCTCTACCACTTTCACTCCCCCTCTCCTCCCTCACTCCCTCACTCCCTCACTCCATACCCTTCCCTTGTCCCCCTCTTCTCCACTTTTCTTGTTCCCTGCTCTGATTCTCCCTGCTCCTCTCCCTTCTCCCCCACGCAGAGGTATGTGCGCCTGCGCAAGGAGTGGAGCGCGGATCTCAACGCCCGGGTCACTCCAGGAAGCTCCTTCCACTTCTCTTACCCTCCTCTCTTCTCCTCTTGCTCCCCCCGCACCCCCCCCCTCCCCCCTCCCCTCTTTCCTCCCCCGCGCAGGTATGTGCGCCTGCGCAAGGAGTGGAGCACGCATCTCAGTGCCCAGGTCACTCCCGGCCAGCCCCTCGCCTTCAAGGGATTCCACGGCACGTACCGCGCTCGCTTCCAGGTCAACGGGCAGACCGTCGAAAAAACTTTCCATGTGCCCAATGGGCAGGGAACAGCTCAGATTACCATCCAGCTGTAGAGCGGATATTAGCTGTGATGTTAGGGATAATGCATCCTTTAGTGAGCTAGGAAGCCAAGGCTATCTACAGATAGGCTAGATTGAGAATGTAGCAGCTAGCTACATGGTAGGAGTTGTCTTAGCATATCTTGTGCTATACTTTGACGCAAGCTTCTAATTCACAATTCGCACAATATCATGTCATCACAGCAGCACTAATAGATGAACATGGGAGCACAAGGTCACTAAGCCACAAGTTCCGGATTCAGTGTATGGCAGTTCTTGTTCCAAGGGAATCTCTGGTGCTGCAAGCCCTGGAAGATTTTCAGACACGGCCACCAGGACTGCTGAAGGGAAGGCAGTGCTTCAATCTGACAGATGGTGGGCAGCAAAGGAGGGAGGTGAGGATGGAGTTTCTCTTGCAGTGGTAGGAGTGAAAAGATAGGGGGCTCAACTGCACAGAGGAGAGTGAAATAAGAAAACACCGCCGATGCCGGGGATCGAACCCGGATCTTCCGCGTGACAGGCGGAGATACTGACCATTATACTACATCGACACGTCCAGTTTGTAACATAAATGTTTTTGACCCTGATCAAACATTTTCGTCTAAATCATCCAGTCACGGCAGTAGGTCAAACGGTCATGTCGCCTCCAAACCGCAAAACTAGCATCAGCAGCGGGAGCAGCGCCATTTCCGCTCGTCAGAATCGCGCCAGCAATTCGAACTTACGTCCCGTTCTCCAGCAGCATCCCCCTCAGCACCCGCCACGTCAGCCACCGTACCCTAGTCCCCCCTATCCGCCAGGTCCCCCGTACCCGCAAGGTCCGCCTTACTCGCAAGGCCCGCCATACCCCCCGCAGCAGCACCCGCCCGCGCCCTACCCCACCCCTTATTCTCATCCTAGCGCGCACCCGCACGGGCCGCCTCCCTTCCCGCCCTATGCGAACGGCCCTCCCCCGCCCCCGGCCCCGCAAATTACGGCCCGCATTACCCGCTTCCCGCTGGCGCGGGCCCTCCGCCGTACGCACGCGGATCTCGCGGCGGGCCCTCCGTCGGGGAAGATGGTTACGGATCGGACGGCCCGTTACACGGTTACACGTCGGACGAGCCGCCGTTTCGCCGCGGCGGCGCGTACGGTCGTGGCGCGAATGGCAGCCCTATGGCGGCGCCGCCGAGATTAGTGTCCTCAAAGGGCCGCGCGACTCGGCAATGGTGCGGCGGCAGATTATGCTCGCCGTCGCGCCTGCTTCTAATCTTCATCCCCGCTTTAGTGTTCTTCTTTATAATGAGCGGGCGGAGTCCCGAGAATTCGCGCAAGGTAGAAGCGGAGGTGTGGGGAGGGGCGGAGGGTGTGGGTGCGTGGCTCGCGGGCGCAGGCGGGGCGGAAGCGCGCGCAGGCGTAGGAGCAGGCGCAGGCGCAGGGGGGGAGAAGGATTTGCGGAGGGTGCGGTGGAGCAGCGAGGTGGAGGCGGGGGTGGTCGCGGGGGCGGTGGAGAAGGGCTTTAAGATGGATCTTAGCACTGCGCGGACTAAACTCCGCACAGGTAGGGGAGAATAGGGGACTGGGGAGGGGAAAGGGGAAGGGGGAAAGGGGAAGGGGGTAAGGGGAAGGGGGAAAGGGGAAGGGGGAAAGGGGAAGGGGGAAAGGGGAAGGGGGAAAGGGGAAGGGGGAAAGGGGATGTGTTGAGGCGTGGGGAAGGGTGGGGCCGTGGAGAAGGGCTTTAAGATGGATCTAAGCATGGCGCGGACTAAACTGCGCACAGGTAGGGGGGTGGAGGAGGCGAATGAGAGCAGGGGAATGAGGCATGGGAAAGAGTGGGTCGTGGGTAATCGAGGGCTTTAAGGTGGAGCTTAGGGCGTGGTTCCTACGGTTGCGAGCTGCTATAAGTTCGTCCTGTCAGTCAGAGTGGTATAGTGGTTCTTTTTCAGCCGGTCAGAGTTTTTTTTAGCCTGTCAGAGTGTGATGCACGGAAGGCGCCGCGCCAGCATGGACTTCAACAACTCCATCTCCATCCGTCCCTCCCCCCTTGTTCCCTCCCTTGTTCTCCAATCCTTAACCTCGGAACCTTCTTAATGCCGTACAGATGCTGACGTGGAGGGGGCCAACATCGACCACAACAACTCCATCACCAACCCCTGCTTGACACGTCACTCGCTGCTGCAGCGGGCCTATCAGGAGGCGCCACCTGGCGCGCTCTCAGCGCTCGGCCAGCCGCGATTCGTCCAGCGCAGCGGGTACCGGCTGTCGGCCAATGAGTTCGCAGCAATCGGGATGAGCCTACGAGTCATCAGAGAGAATGGGGATGACGGGGTGAGTGTATGTAGGAGAATGCATTTGAGACGACTCAGGGGGAGAAGGCAGGCGAAAGTCTGTGTGGGAGAGAGCGGGGGAGGGTAGGCGGAGGGGTAGTGGGTCTGTTTGTCCAGCACAGCAGGTACCGGCTGTCGGCCAATGAGTTTGCAGCAGTCGGGATGAGCCTGCGCGTTATAAGAGAGAATGGGGACGATGGGGTGAGTGAATGGGAGGGGAATGGGTGGCTCTCCGTGAATGACAGGGGATGAGGAGACTGCCGGCTGTTAGCTAATGATTGCCGGCTGTTAGCTAATGATTGCCGGCTGTTAGCTAATGATTGCCGGCTGTTAGCCAATGAGTGCCGGCTGTTAGCCAATGATTGCCGGCTGTTAGCCAATGAGTGCCGGCTGTTAGCCAATGATTGCCGGCTGTTAGCCAATGAGTGCCGGCTGTTAGCCAATGAGTGCCGGCTGTTAGCCAATGAGTGCCGGCTGTTAGCCAATGAGTGCCGGCTGTTAGCCAATGAGTGCCGGCTGTTAGCCAATGAGTGCCGGCTGTTAGCCAATGAGTGCCGGCTGTTAGCCAATGAGTGCCGGCTGTTAGCCAATGAGTGCCGGCTGTTAGCCAATGAGTGTGCAGCACGATTGTTAAGAGAAAACGGGGATGATGGGGTGAGTGAGGAGGGGAGGGAATGGTGAGTGTCCACAGGTGGTTGAGAGGGGAATGAGTGAGAGGGGAATGAGTGAGAGGGAATGAGTGAGAGGGGAATGAGTGAGAGGGGAATGAGTGAGAGGGGAATGAGTGAGAGGGGAATGAGTGAGAGGGGAATGAGTGAGAGGGGAATGAGTGAGAGGGGAATGAGTGAGAGGGGAATGAGTGAGAGGGGAATGAGTGAGAGGGGAATGAGTGAGAGGGGAATGAGTGAGAGGGGAATGAGTGAGAGGGGAATGAGTGAGAGGGGAATGAGTGAGAGGGGAATGAGTGAGTGAGAGGGGCGATCCTTTGCCATGTGTCTCCCAATCTCCGCCTTGTGCTCCCTCACACACCTCCCCCTTCTTCTCCCTCTCGCTGTTAGTGATTTTTGAAAGAAAATAAAAGGTTGATTTTGAGAAATTTCAAGAAGTGTTATTTGTGATTTCTAAAGAAGGTTATTTTTCAGAATTCTCAAAAGGTGATGTTTTAAAATGCTAAAATTTCTCCCTAACATATTCCCCCTTTATTCCCATTGGTCCTCGTCAGCTGGGCCACTGCTACTGGGTGGGGCGGGACGGGCGGCATTTGCAGGGCAGGCTGAGGGGAATTTACCCTGGAGAACACCATTTATTGATGTATGAGACGGCAGTGTACCACTGTAGACTCATGGCGGAAACCACAGGGGATGGTGGTGGCACTGCAATGATCCAACTAGGTGAGTGCAGTACGGGACTGGCTGGGAGTAGGTAAGGGTGTAAACGAATGCTTGGGTATTCGGATGGTATTCAGCATTCGACGAATACCGAATTCGAATCGAATGTTAATTTAGCAATTATTCGGTTATATTTGTGCGTCGGATATTCGACCGCGTCGAATATTCGTGCGTCGAATATTCGTAGCTCGAATACCGAATATTCGTTTCAATATCCGGATGTTGATTAAACCTTCTTCCACTGCTTCGCGATGTGCGCTTTGCATGCCGTCACCACCTATCTGAAGACAAAGCCGCGACATGAGTCTACATCGCGCGCTACGACTCCGGCTCCAAGATTGCGGAGGGATAGGATACGTTATTATGCTTGGGGTGAAGCAATAGCTAGCAGCCTAGCACACAAGAGACTTGCGATCGAGTTTGACTTACAGATCGTCGATATTGAGAGTATGCGGCAGACACTAGGTACATGTGTGTTGCTTGGAAGGGTTGGTGCAGTACAGAGAGTTCCAAGGCGTGGATTGTGCAACCTAGAATTGCGCAACCAGTTGCGCGCGGTGTTGGCAACTTTCTTGCCTGGATAAAAGTTTGCTAACAAACTTCGTGATCTTTGCGAAACCCGTAACCATGCTGTATTGCGCAGCTCAGTCGGATTGCGCAACCCTAGACTCCACGCCCTCAGCCACACCTGTTTGTGTCGCAATTTGCGGGCAGGTTGATGCAAATTTTGTTGTAGCAATATCGCGCGTTGCACAACAACTGTACTAAATGTTTGGGTCAGCGTCGCAACGGCCGAAACAGTCCCTTCAATAACACATGGTCGGTTGCCAGTACCACGGAAACGATTCCGCATGGGGCGAGCCAACCATGAAGGGCGATGTGTCACGTCGCAAGGTGTGTTGGCACGTCAATTCCTAAACTTTGGGAGTCGCCCAAACAGACTTCACGCTTATTGGGTAACCCATCCCAATGTGCAACGTAAACTGCACGCATATGGAATGGCGGGGCTTCGCAATTGGTTTCATTACACGAACCTGTATGGAGATTGAACAGGTGTCTAATGATCCCGTTGCCGAAACTTCCCGCTTACAAATTTGACGATTGGAATGCCAGTGGAATTTGCGCCGTGTGGAATGCGCAGCGAGAAGAATGCGGCTCGCAAAAATTCAACCCACCGTCACGACCATGCAGAATTCCTCCCGACACTCCAGAGAGGCAATTTCAGCTCCAAAGAGCACATATTTGGGTTCCCCGCTTATCCTACCATTCACACACTCCAAATCTCCTCCCGGATGCTTACAGATTATGAACCATTACTTCCGAAGTATTGACGCCAGCCTCATCTTCTGCCTCCAGCCTCGTCTAGCACTTTCTTTGTAGCCATGGCTTCTACCACCTTGCAGTCTACGCTAGGTGGTGTTAGTGCACCACGTCCTTCAACAAGCGTGCCTACCACTAGTCGTTTAACGGCCGTCCCTACTGCCCTTAATGCCAACCGTCCTGCTGATGCTGACTCCAACATGCCGCCGTTCAAGAAAGCCAAGAAGCGGACCTCCCTCATGTGGATGTTTTTTGAGAAGATCGAAGGGACGGAGAAGGCACGGTGCATGCTTTGTTCGAACAAGGGGTCGAACGTGACCATCTCGTGCAATGGCGGCTGCACCACCGCAATGAAGAACCATGCTACGAGTCACCACGCACCTCAATATACAGCAATCACTGGTGAGGATGTGGGAGCTGGTGGTAACCAAGACATTGGGAAGGCGATTCGTGGGAACACCCCGTACACGGACAAGGAGAATAGGAGGCGTTTGGTGAGGGTGATTCTCAAGGGGATTCTCTCCTTTAGGGCTCTCACTTGCCCCGAGTTGTTGGCATACTTGCAGTGGCTTGAATCGAAGGTAACCATCCCTTGTCGGGTTACGATTGCAAGTGACATTCACACAGCTTACAACGAGCGGATGGTGTTGATGAGGATGCGTTTGCAAGGTTTGCCATCAAAGGTATCCTTCACGTGTGATATTTGGACGGCGCCCAATTTGGATGCCTACATGGCTATCACGGCGCATTGGCTTGATGAGCGCTTTAACAACAAGAGCATCTTGTTGGACTTCATCAATCTCAAGTTCCACCACACGGGTGAGGCCATCAAGAACGCGTTCGTGCGAGCGGTCTTTGATGAGTGGGGTCTTGAGAGCAAGATCATGGCCATCACCATGGACAATGCCTCCACCAATGAGAAGATGGTGAAACTTCTCGTCAAGGATCACGACTTTTCCTTTGGAAGGTACATAAGGTGCTTTGCTCATGTCATCCAACTTGTGGTGGAATGCATCTTGAAATCACCTAAGGTGGATGGTGCACTCACCAAGGTCCGCGGGCTTGCAACCCACCTTAGTGGGTCAAGCTTGAGGCATGATAAGTTTGAGGTACATTGCATTGAGAAGGTGCAAGGGCATAAGACCTCACTTGCTCATGACACCCCAACGAGGTGGGGAAGTGCCCATGCTATGGTGGTAAAGGCACGTAAGTTGAAGGCGGCCATTAACTCCTACTTGGTGGCCGAGGTGGAGGAGGAGGTATTTGAGGAGCTCCGAATGAGGGATGACGAATGGAGCACCCTCTTCGTTCTTGAGAAACTTCTCGCTCCGTTTGCCGAAGTGCAACGGATTTTGGAGGGGTCTAGATACCCAACAACTTCCTTGTGTGTTCCATTGGTGAACTCACTCATGGATTTGTTGGAAGCCCAGGTGGCCGCCAGGGGCGAGTTTTGGGAGCCATGCAAGAATGCTCACGCCAAACTGAAGAACTACTACAACCGGACTTCGGAGGACTACACTATTGCAACCCTTTTGGACCCTAGGTTCAACCTAGGGTACTATGCTTTGGGTGCAATGGAGGGGGGCGCTCATCATGCGGCAACCTCCGTGGTGAAAGCCACAATTACCGAGGCTTACGCCGAGTACGAGGAGGTGGCGCCGCATGAGGAAGTCATGGGCGAGAGTTCAAGCCCTCTTGGAGGGGAAACGGTGGAGGGAGGGAGTGGGCAATCAACGATCTTTGGCGGCATCTTCTCAGTCCGTGGGAGGGGGGAGTCAAGTGGAGAGAATCAACTCTCTAAGTACCTTGACGAGGAGAGGGTCACCGTGGAAAATGAGAAGTCGGTTGCTACATTCAAGGATTGGTGGCGTCTCCATTGCCATCACTACCCGAATGTTGCAAGGATGGCTCGTGATTACTTGGCGATTCCGGGAACGTCCGCCGACTCCGAGCGCTCATTTTCCATTGCACTGCATTTGTTCACGGATTTCAGGCATAGTTTGAAGCCCGAAACTGCTCGGGCGTGCTTATGCTTGCGGTCTTGGAACGCTTTGGAGGATGAAGAGACTTCCACCAAGGGGAAGTAATTCAGATGCTGGAAAGCCTCAACTGAGCAGAGGTAGTTAGAGTTCTATGGAGCTGAGATTGTCTCGTGCTATGTGTGTTAGAGCCTTTGCCTCTCTATTCAACCACCACCTTGTTATGCAATGTCATGCTATAATAATAAATCGCGCTCCATGTTTTCAACTTGGGATGTGAAAAAAGGGCATAGGCCAGGGTTTCGACTCGCTGGTGTGGGGAGTGAGTAAATACTTCTCTGGTTTCGACAAGTTGGTAAATTCGTCCCACTGGTTAACCTTGATTTATACCAGCATGCCCCTATAAATACACAATTTTTTTGTGACCACCATACCACTCGAATACATTCGCATTCGGACGGTATTCGGCACCATTCGGATGGTATTCGTATTCGTGAAGGACCTACCATTCGATCAAATACCAAAACACCAAATATTCGGCTAATATTCGGTTACAACATTCGTATTCGTATTCGTACTCGAATTTACACCCTTAGGAGTAGGGCTCACGCTAAGTTTTTTTGGAACTCTGCTTCTCCTGGATTCCCCACCCCCCTGCACCCGGATTCGTCCGGGTTTCAGGGTAGTTGATTTTCTGTTTCATCCGGATTTGGGTACGAAGTTACTTTTAGCCGAGTTACAACAAACATTGACTTGGGCAGGCGGGGTGGAAGTCGCGATATTAAAGGTCAATGCGGGGTAAACTTTGCGGCGTGCGAAGATGGCAGAGTGGCTTTTGGGTGTACCACGTTCTGAGGGTTGTTTTATTTCGCTACTCCTTTTAACAGCTCGGCTAAAGTACGGTGTGATAGGCTTTTTGTTTTTTTAAAGAATTCTCAAAAACTTATTTCGCTGCTTCTCTCAACAGCTCCGTTAAAGCTGGGTAGAATTAGACGCAGGGCATGGAGGAATGTGAGATGAATGCCTCTTCTGTGGCTGGCAGGTAGCAACCTTTGCAACCTTCTGGGTTGGGGGGGGGGGGGGTGGTTGGTTGGGCTGAATCCTTTTGGCTGTTTGGGAATTAGCCGAATTTCCTTCATTGGGTGGGTGGGCATGGGGGGGGGGGGGGGGGGGTTTGAGGGAGGAGGAATTTCCCAGGCGGTGAGGGACTTAGCCCATTATTCTGGGTTTCCGGGGGGTGTGGGTGGGAGGAGTATCTCTGTGTGGAAATTACTTCGTCGAATTCTCTGGGTTGCGGGTTGAACTTAGCCGAATTTTCTGCGTTCGGGGGGGTCTCTGGGGAATGTTTCTGGATGTTGGGGACTTAAACAAAAAATATGTCTCTGGCGCCGGGGAAGAAAGGGGGGGGGGTGGTGAAGGGGGGGAGGGATGGGGTGGGTGCATCCGGATTGCCTTCTCCGCGAAATTCTGATCCGCCCGGACCCCCCCGCTACACCACTTCCTATAAATTCCGGAAACCCCGATAACTCTACCCGTTCAAATTCCGGAACCAGGCCAAAGCCAACTCTTAATGTTTTTGTTTTTTTCCGGGTAATTACCCTTGAAAAACGAGCCCTGCCCTGGCCGGGAGGCGTTAACAGTGTTTCAGCTTTTGAGTCGCCTCAAAAGGGCGGTATTAATAAAGTTTCACTGGGTCCGACTCCCCTCCCTCCACTCCCCCTCCCCTGCAGACCGTATGGATGTGCCCATCTACAGTGAACCGCCTGCACCAGCATCAGCCCTCTCCTCCCTGCTCCCCGCACACCCTCACGGGCAAGCACATGCCACCCACGCATGCCGCCACGCATGCCCCGGCCCATGGCAATAAACGGAACGCCACACAACCGCATAAACAAGGCTACGGCTTCACGCATTGGCAAGCGATTGGGCATGGGCCATCTTTTGAGTACAATCTGGCCTTCTGCTCGTTCCCCATGTACCGGGACCTCAACCCCTCCGCGCTGCACGTGTGGCTGCAGGTGCGTTCTCCCCTCCCTTTTTTCTCTCCCCTTCTCTTTCACTACCCTCGCTCTCCTGCTCGTCTCCCCTCCTCCCTCTCTTGCTACCCGAGAGCTCAATCGTTCCACTCTTAACGCATTCTCCACGCAACACATGTGGGCTGCAACTGCAATGTCCATCCCTCCCATCAGCCATGCCATGCCATGCCATGCCATGCCATCCCATGCCTTGCCATGCCATCCCATGCCATGACATGCCATGCCATGCCATGCCATCCCATGCCTTGCCATGCCGTGCCATGCCATCCCATGCCTTGCCATGCTGTGCCATGCCATCCCATGCCTTGCCATGCCGTGCCATGCCATCCCATGCCATGCCATGCCATGCCTTGCCATGCCTCTCTCTAACCTTCCTCCCACCTAACTCCATCGCACCCTGCTCTTCCTACCACCATCCCAAGGTGAAGGTAGCGGCCCCATCTCTCATCTCTTTCCCCAGAAGTATTCTAGATGCCTCTCCCTCATGCCTCCCATGCCTCTCCCTCATGCCTCTCCCTCATGCCTCTCCCTCATGCCTTCCATGCCTCTCCCTCATGCCTCCCATGCCTCTCCCTCATGCCTCTCCCTCATGCCTCCCATGCCTCTCCCTCATGCCTCCCATGCCTCTCCACTTTTTTCGGGTGCCTTTTTGTGTTGCCTTCTGAGTCAAGTCAAAAGTCCCATCTCTCGTTTGCCATCTCTCGTTTGCCATCTCTCGTTTGCCATCTCTCGTTTGCCATCTCTCGTTTGCCATCTCTCGTTTCCCATCTCTCGTTTCCCATCTCTCGTTTCCCATCTCTCGTTTCCCATCTCTCGTTTCCCATCTCTCGTTTCCCATCTCTCGTTTGCCATCTCTCGTTTGCCATCTCTCGTTTGCCATCTCTCGTTTGCCATCTCTCGTTTCCCATCTCTCGTTTCCCATCTCTCGTTTCCCATCTCTCGTTTGCCATCTCTCGTTTGCCATCTCTCGTTTGCCATCTCTCTCTCGTTTCCCATCTCTCGTTTTCCA